ACCCCATATATCTGAGGTCATAATTTTTCCTGCTTCATTCTCCAATACCTCTATTTTAAATGAGCTCTTATAGCTGCTACTCTTGGTTTTCATTTTATAGCATTTGGTTTCTGTTTGTGTGCTGTTTATTATGTAGTTTTGAACATCTTCTTCTGTGACTGTGGGCGATAAGCCTGAGAGAAAAATGTAAGCTTTTCGTGGGGCCACTTGTAGGCTAAAGTTTTTGCAGCCTCCAAGTATTGGCTTTTGCCTGTTGGTGGTGTTAATTTTTCTGTTTATAACCCCCTGCCAGTCGTTTTTGTTGTTTTCTGTTTTCCGGTTATTATTACAATTTTCGGCATTGACGGCATTTTGAGTTGCCTTTTGCTTGTTAGCGGCACTTTTCTTCCTACGTACGACCTCCTGCCAGTCGTTTTTGTTGTTTTCCGTTTGCGTATAATTATAATTTTGAACATTTTGGTTTGTGTTTTGATGATTTTCTTGGAGACTTTCTTCGATTTGTTCAAGTTCTTTTCCATTTTTGTCAACTGTCAACTGCCATGTGCATGGTGACGTACTCGAGTCACTCGTTGGGGATTGGGTTAGAGACAGAGTGCGTTTATCATTTTATTTATTTATTTATTTATTTATCAATCAGACATCAACAGCCAGGGGCCAATTACAGACATCCACTTAAGACTAACAGTAACATAAAGCTTAACAATACACTTAAAAGAAATAAAGACATGTATTAAACACTAAAACATTTTTACTAAAACTAAACAATACATAATTAAAATGGTTGGTTATAATCAAATCTGTACAAAACACAAACGTCCTAAATCTCATCCCGCAGTTTACTATCAATTAGTTTTTTAAACTTTTCAATATTTATCATGTCTATATCAATACCTGAAGCATACCGATTAAAAACTGAACACATTCTAAATATAGGTGAGTCCTTGTACAGATTGGTTCTGGGAAACGCTAAATAGAAACTGTTTGAATTCCGAGAATTAATTCTATTTATCGCAAATGGCAACTGGCCAAGAATATCAGGACCATCAATTTCACCCTTCAGCAACCTAAACATTGTGCAAAGAATTATTTTAAATCTCCTTTTCTCCAATGACACTCTTCCAAAGACACCCAACAAATATTCATTACTACAACCTCTTTGTGGGTAGAATCCATATTTTCTAAAATAAAGAGACTTTAGAAATTTCCTTTGCACCCCCTCAATAATCGTAATCCACACATCATATTGAGGGGACCAAATTACAGAACCATATTCCAATATAGGCAAAACTAAGCTGTCAAAAAGATGTAAACTTATGTCTATGCCAAAGTCTCTAGTGTTTCTTGTAATAAATCCTGCTACCCTCTGAGCACTTTCAATTTTTGCAAGAATGTGATCAGTGAAAGTGAGATTCACGTCAAAGATCAGACCTAAATCTTTTTGTTTGTCAACTCTTTCAATTTTAGTATTATTGTAAGTGTAATCATACTGATAAGAGTTTTTATTAAGGGTAAATGACATACACTTACATTTACTCACATTTAGATTAAAGCTATTCGCAGTACCCCAATTAGATACATTACAAAAGTTATTTTGAAGAGTTTCACAATCCTCGATGGAATTTATTAAGTGAAAACATTTGAAATCGTCCGCAAACAGTAAGCCCTTGACGTCTTCAAGATTGCCCATGATACCATTTATAGCTGCTAAAAACAGAAGAGGGCCAAGATTAGAGCCCTGGGGTATCCCTGATGTGCTCTTGTACACAACAGATTTAGATCCTTTGATTTCTATATATTGAAATCTATGGCTAAGATAGGATTGTAATAAATAAAATAGATAAGATGATACATTCATATCGTTTAGGGCTTTTAAAATTACGCAGTGCCTCACCTTATCAAACGCCTTCTCCATATCTGTGAATATTACGTCAACTTGTGACTTGTCATTTATTGCATCATGAATATATTGACAAAATGTGATTAAGTTGGTGTAAGTTGACTTTTTAGGAAAAAAACCATGTTGGCATGATGTTATTTTGCCCGAAATTTCACTATACAATCGATCAAAAATAATTATCTCGAAAACTTTAGAGATTGCACATACAATTGAGATAGGACGATAATTTTTTATGTCTTTCCTGGCACCAGCCTTGTAGACAGGTATAACTTTGCTTGTTTCCCATTTATCAGGGTACACAGACGTTTTCAAAATAAAATTAAATAGAAATTCAAGAGGCAATGCCAAATATTCACTGCAGCCCTTTATGATATAAGCAGGTACTCCATCAGGACCTATTGCTTTGTTACCCTTAATCTTTATGATAGCCTTTTGAATTTCAGTCATGCTAATCAAATTGTCGCAGAAGTGCGACTTTACAGGAAATTTACTGCAAGTTACGTCAGTATCATCAATAAAAACTGATTTAAAAAAATCCGCGAAGCCGTTAGCAATGTTTTGAGGTCCAGTGTACGTTTTGCCATCAGAAATCATTTCCTGAAGAACATCTGGATGATCCTTAAGGCCTTTTACATATGACCAAAAGAATTTAGGGTTTGATTTTAAACTAATTTTTACGTCATGCAGATATTTAGAGTAGGCTAATTTCATTTCATTCATAACTGTTGGAGCAGGTCTGCACGGCTCGTTTTTTCCCAGCTGTCTTCAACATTTTTGGTGTTCTTTGATCTTTTGCTAACTTCGGGCTGTCAGGTGGATCGGTTACGTCGTTTGTTGTTGGCGGGAATTCAAGGAGCTTTCTAACCTCATTTTCGAGTTTCTTGCCTTTTTCTTCAAGTTTTATGATGTTTTCCCTCATAAAACGATTATTTTCCACTAGTATTTCGTTCTTCTCCTCTAGTAGTTTAATTATTATGCCATAGAGTTGCTTTTCGTGGCTCCAATGCTCTTCTTCTGCGTAAGTAGGTACGTGGCGGCACTTGGCGGATTTTTGAGTCGCCGCTTGTATTAGGCATGCGGAGTGAAAGTTTTTCTGGCATTTTCCACACTCTATGAAATTCTTCGTATCTTTTTCACAATGAGAACACTTTTCTATCAATTTTTCACTAATATTTTCAGCACTTTTTGTGGGCGTTAAAATCTCTACATCTTTATCGTCAGCCATTTTTCTTCACTCGACGAATGTTAAAAATCTCTTGGATGGACAAAGTGCGCAATGAAGATGTGCTAACGAGAATGTCACAGAACTTGATGTTATGTTTACGCTTAAAAAGCGATGACAAATACCTACTTTTCAAGCTTATAATCAAGGGAAAAATCAAAGGCAGTACGTCGTAGAATATCTTGGCAAATGAATTTGCGTCGCGTCAGTGGTATGGCGAAACCACGACAAATCTATCAGAAAAGCAGTCGACAAAGTACAGATAATGCTGATGATTGCCAACATTCCTAGAGGACAAGGTATTTGAAGAAGAAGAAGAAGAAGAAGAATGATATAAAGTTCGATAGGTTAATCTCTAACAGATTTCCAGAAAGAAAAAAATATACTTATATATATATGGTACATATATTTTTGTCATAAGAAACAATGTGTTGGAAAATGACCTTTCTCATTTTCCTTATAGATATAAAGTCCATTTCTAAAACCATGGTTCTCATGACAAAAACGGATTTTGATTTTTTTCTCAAAATATCTTCAGATAAACCTATCAAATTTTATATCAATGAAATCAGCAAAAGCAGGGCTATCTAATGAGTTATTAGAATATAGGGTTTCCTATTTGGAAAAATCGAACTTTGGTCCATATCTCGGAATACTGGCGGAATACCAAAAAACTGAGAATGTCATCAAATTCTGTTTGAAAAAGGGCTTTCAGAATGTTTTTACGGTAAATTACATTTCATAAATAAATAAGTTGTGGAGCTTTTCCTATAAAAAGTGTCCAAATTGGACCACCCTGTACACGCTAGAGACTAAAATAATATCACTTTTGGAATATATATTGTTTTATTTTAAAAAAAAAATGCCTGATTTTATCAGCCAAAGTTAAATTACCTACAATATTTCACAGTAGATAATGAAAAAAAAAAATCTTTGGCCTAATTTTTAAGTATCACCCTGTATGCCTACAAGGTCGGTGCAATGAAAGAAAATGCTTGTTTCGACTTCTAAAATAATATACTAAAGTTTGAACAAAATCTGTCGGTGACCGAAATCCATAAGAAGTGTGAGATGTTCTTTGTACACCTATTTATGGAGTGACCTGCCCCCCGTAAAATTCTTAACAAATCAACTTTGGAATTTTTTCAAAAATACTTCTAGGAATCTAAGCAACTTGAAACTCTCAGGAATTCATAATTAAAGTCTTTTTTCCAAATACAACAAATCTGAAGTAAATCTGAGCTTCACAAATAGAATTATGAATATTTTAAAAAATCCTTGTAAAATTCTTAAAAAATTAAGTTTGGAAATTTTTCAAAAATACTTCCATGAATCCGAGCAATTGGAAACTTTCAGGAATTCATAATTAAAGTCTTTTCTTCAAACAGAACAAATCTGAAGTCAATCTGAGCATCAGAAATAGAATTACGAATTTTTTTAAAAATCCTTGTACAATTCTTATCAATCAATCAAACAGAACAAACCATGAATGGATATCAGGCTCAAAAATGGAATTATAAATGTTTTTTTCAGGTTTGATAATTAATTTTTAACTAAAAAATAAAATCTGCCATTTTATCCAAGAGCACCCTGTATATTAAGTAATAAACCTCGTCAAGGGCCGGTTTATTCACCTTCTAATAAACTGTCAGGTATGCAATTGGATGCACATAGTTACCAGCCAGTTCAGATGCAGATGATTAAACCGGGCCTAAGTGACAACGAGGTAGACAATTACAAAAACACATGGCCAAAAAACAAAGGAAATTTTATCATGTGTCTAATATAAGGTTAAAAATCATGCTACAAAGTTTAATTTTAATGTAAGCAACAATTTCTCTTAAAAACAATATAAACAAAATTATAAATAAACAAACTTACTTGCATAGAATCGGCTCCTATAATTTCCCCATTGAACCTGGCAGCCAATTCCAACGACAATTTAGTTTTTCCTGTTCCCGTCGACCCCAAAATCACCACCAGAGGTTTTTTAGTGCTCATTTTGAGCCCCATACAGGAAAAACAAAATCAACCCTGTAACAAAGAGCACATGGACTTTTTACTCGATTTGTAATAATTTTCAATAAAAATGTATAATGTTAATTGTTTAAAATAGATTAATTAATAATTATTAATAAGTTTTTAGTTGTTTTAATTTGTTTAAACAATTTTTTTAAAAATAATTACTTACCAAGTAAAGTGCGTTTGTGGAGCAAAAATGAGGTTAGGATAGGATGTCATGTCATATTATTTTCTTCTTGCTTTCCTAGGTTAGACAGAGAGAGCAATAGAATCTAATGAAGCAGACAAGGATATAAATATAATCAAGGTTACTACGAAAGAGGTTATCCATAAGTTTTATGCTTAGAGCTAGGATTGCGATTGCAAGGAATATTTATTTTAGTAATTTATTAATAAGGCGGTTACACACGGACGTGGATGTCTTGATACATATACATGCATACATCAACGTGCAAACAAAAACGTGCATGTCGCGTTTGTACAGACGCTCGCACAAAACTGCAGTCTTGCTACAGTAATCCGAGTGTGCATACAAAATTTCTAGCGAATTGGATTCCACATTCAAAAACGCGACGATATTTTGCATAAGGCGGTTACACACGGACGTGGATGTCTGAAAACATGTACGCACATAGATGAACGCGCAAACAAAAACATCAATGTGAATGCAAAATGTCGTCGCGTTTTTGAATGTCAATTTTGTATGCACACTCGGAATACTGTAGCAAGAATAGCAAGACTGCAGTTTTGTGCGAGCGTCTTAACAAAAGCGCCATGCACGTTGTTGTCTGCACGTTGATGTATGCACGTATATGTATTAAGACATCCACGTCCGTGTGTAACCGCCTATACACATTGATGTTTTTGTTTGCGCGTTCATGTATGTACGAGTTATATTATTAACCAATTGCCATGCTGATTTAAGTACAATCAATTATCTATTTTTTATATGCTTTAATGTGCTTACCCCTTTCCGGCCTCTAGGACTTTTAAAATACATTGTTGTAAAGTAAACATCAAGTTGCTATGTCGGCATTAAATGATTATTTAAGCCGATGCAGTCCCATAAGGAACGTTCATTTGTTTTCTGGCTTTAGCCTGTAGCAATTTGATCCGAATATTTTCTTTTGTCACCTCTGTATTTTAATCAATAAAATAAATGTTTTTTAAAATACAAGTTTCTGAATCGAAAATATAATTGGCGCAGTCGTTCGGATACTCAGAGAGCTTCAGTTTCGGGAGTTGATACAGTCGCGTAATCCGTCGCGAAAATTTCAAAAGACTGAAGGAAGTTCGAATAAGTGAATTCTTCGGAAAAGTGAAATTTGGATTATCAGTGCTGCTATTAAACGTTCCAGATACTGTCCACTTCGAATTGGTTAACTGAGTAAGGAATAACAAAGAAACAACGTGTGAAGAAAGACTACTGTTATTAGCTTTGCCTAGTAAGTACCTACAACCTTTCTCTTTATACATTTTGTAATTGGTGTTCCATAGTTAAGATTTTTGGATTTTTGATCTTTTGTAATTTCTAATTTTTGATTTACTGAGAAGACTTAAATTCAGATTTTTGTTCTTTTGCAATTCCAAAACGGTTTGCTGAAAAGACTGAAATCAAAAAATAAAGAGTAACAAAGAATTTACAAACCCACAACAACTTTTAATTTTTAAGAAAAAGCAACGCATATAAGACTGAATAATTAATTATAATTTTAATTTTAATAAAACTTTTTAATTTTGAATTTTTTAAATTTTCAAAGTAATTTCTTTTAAAAATTCAAAGAAATATATACGTCAGATTCTGAAGAAGAAATCGAGAATCTTTTGACTCAATTTAATTTAACTCATCTTTACAATTCCAATTCGAGAAGTAACAACCAAAATCAAAGACTAACCGTAACAATGAGTGAAAATTTAAAATCAATTGTACAACTTATAAAACCTTTCAGTGGCGAAAGCCAATATTTAGAATATTTCATAAGAAACATCAATGAATTCTATCAAATTTACTATACTGGTGAAAATGCTCAAAAAGAGTATGTGGTTACCGCCATAAAATCAAAATTAATAAATGACGCAGGAAATTTTCTTATGGCACGTCCTGATTTACAAACATGGACCGATATAAGAGAAGCATTGAGAATTAAGTATGGTGATCAATATTCTAGACGGAATTTGGTACAAGAGCTTATGTATACCACAAAAACTAATAAAGAAACTATTATTGAGTATTTGGAGAAACTAAAAGGTTTAGTTCAAAGAATTACATCTAAAATCATGTGCGACCCGAATTTAACGGTAGTTGCAAATGTCTTAATTGAACAAAACGAAATTATTGCTATTCAAAATCTAGTCACTAATTCGCCAACCGAATTAAGAACAATTTTAATGGTTCAAAATCCACAAACGTTGGATGCAGCTAACAAATTTGTGTTAAATTATCAACTAGCTGAAAACCACATGAAATTTAGTAGAGGACTTACTCATTCTACTAATCAAAATCAAAATTTTTCAAATTTCAAAAATAAAAATACGCAATTTCGTTCACAACAAACCTATACTCAACAAAAACCTCAATATACACAAAAAACATCGTATGTACCACAGAAACCACAGTTTCCATCCCAACCTATTAATATACAACCTAAAAAGGTCTAAGTATGTACCAACAAATTTTCCTACTAGTTCAGGAACTTTTGGCAAAAACTACAATAATGCCTTTCGAAAAAACACTAATCAACAATTTTCGAAACCCACACCTATGTCCGGTGTTTCAGTGCAACCAAGAGCACAAAATCAACATCAATACCCTTCTAAATATACAATCGAAGAAATTAATAATATCTTTGAAATCGAATTGCCTGAACCTAATCAAAACTATTATGAAGAGACAAATTTTGAAGAAAATCAAGTCGCAACTGAAGATGAAAATTTTCAGCCTTGGATGCAATGAGTCAGCATTAACTTTAAATGCTTATCAAATCAACCAACTGCCTTTTATTCAAATAGACTATCCACCGTGTAAATTATTAATTGACACAGGAAGTCATGCCTCTTTAATAAGACCCTCAATCGCAGAAGAATATTTTTCAAATTCTATAATTAATTCAAGAAACAAGCTAAGCACTTGCATGGGTACAAGAAAAACGTATGGAAAAATCAATATCCCAATTTTACAAGAATATAATATTCAAAATAACATTGAAATGATAATGTATAATTTCCATGACTATTTTGATGGAATTATTGGAATCAAAGCATTACAAGAAAATAATTTAAATATAGATTTTTCTAATATGCTTCTTTCTAATAATAAAACAACAATTCCGTTTCAATATAGAACAGATTTCGAAAATCAAAATTTTGAGATTCCAAGCAACTCAATTCAAGTATGTTATTTCAATATAAATATAGCTGATGGCATTGAAATACTTACACCACCGATAAAAAATGCAACATATTATATACCTTCGACAATAGCTACAGTTATAAACGAGACAGTAGCTCTAGAAGTACATAACTTAATGAATAAGCCTATTATTGTCCCATATAACATAAACAACTTAGCGGAAATAAGTTTACCTTACGCTGACGAACAGTTTGAGATATTTAATATAGAGCAAATGACTTTATTAGAAAATGCTGAATATGCAAATGACCCCATTAAGTCGTTGCGTATTAATCATTTAAACTCAGAGGAATTTGATGCTTTAAAACACGTAATTAAATCTTTTCCTAAAATTTTCCACAAGCCAAATGAAAAATTGACATTTACCAATCAAGTCAAACATGAGATTAAAAGAACGGATCAAATACCAGTGCACACGAAAACGTATAGATACCCACATGTGCATAAACAAGAAGTAAATTCTCAAATAAAAAAAATGTTAGAAGATAACATAATCAGACCATCCTGTAGCCCTTGGTCATCCCCTGTGTGGATAGTACCTAAGAAAGAAAATGCCGCAGGCATACAAAAATGGAGAATGGTCGTTGATTATCGAAAGATAAACGAAAAAACTATTGATGATAGATATCCATTACCTAATATTAAGGATATATTAGACCGACTTGGTCGTAGTAATTATTTTACGACACTAGATCTAGCCTCTGGCTTTCATCAAGTCGAGATGCATGAAAATTCGATACCCAAAACAGCATTTAATGTTGAAAATGGTCATTACGAATTTAACAGAATGCCCTTTGGTTTGAAAAACGCCCCAGCGACATTCCAGAGAGTGATGGATAATGTATTACTAGGATTACAGAATAGAATATGTCTAGTATACATGGATGATATAATATTTTTTATTTACGACTAATGTATAATGTGCTTATTATAATTGTGATTTTGGCAGTATAATGACATATGTTATTCCTCCAGGGATTAATGACGAGTAGCGGGATTAATATGGTCATTATTCCACAAAAGTGTCAGTGTCAAACGTGTAGTGCTTGTGGATTTGTATTGAAAATTATGAGACGGATGAAATTTGTTCATTGAAAATCTCAAATAAATTAATTTGTCGTAAATAAAGTAGAGTATACTACTCGCAATAGTGGCTATTATTCCCTCGGAATGTTACTCCCTCGCCGCTAACGCGGCTTAGTTCGTAATAATCCTCGGGAATAATAGCTATCATTATTGACTCGTGGTATAATCTACTATTTTTTATTGATAACCTATTTCACTTATTTAAAGTACTCCTCAGCGTGTTTAAATCCAACATTCAAAAACGCGCGTGTTTTAAAGTTACCAATGACAACATCAACAACCAACAACCCGAGAAAGGTGTAAATGTCAACTTTTTAATTATTGATTTGTCAGGAGTAGGTTAGGTACTTGTAGATAACGTCAAATAAAATGTAACAAGTGTCAAGCACAAATTTGCATTCTACAATTATTAGTCACTTATGATTTGAACGTATACCAATAAAAAAAAATAGTGTAAAGTATTCGTGGATAACTGGTCTTTAAAACACTTGCTCTATTTCGAGCACTCGGCTGCGCCGTCGTGCTCGAAAAATCGCGCGTGTTTTAAAGACCTTAATATCCACTTATACTTTAATATACTATTTCCACTTCACTTCATGAACACGTAAAAAATTTAAAGAAAGTATTTGAGAGACTCGAGAAGTTTAATTTGAAAATACAATTAGACAAATCAGAATTCCTACACAAAACAGTCGAATTCTTAGGACATGTAATTACACCAAATGGAATAAAACCGAATCCAAAAAAGATAATGGCAATAAAAAAATTCCCAATACCAAAGACGGTGAAGGAAATAAAATCATTTTTAGGATTAGTAGGTTATTACCGAAAATTCATAAAGAATTTTGCCAAATTGACCAAACCAATGACATCTTGTTTGAAAAAAGACAAAAAAATAATACACAATGTAGAATTTCTAAATAGCTTTGAAACTTGTAAAAATGTATTAATAAATGACCCAATACTACAACATCCTGACTTTAAGAAAACTTTCTTATTGACAACCGATGCATCAAACTATGCAATTGGAGCCGTTTTATCTCAAGGTTCTGTCGGAGCTGATCTTCCCATTGCATACGCATCAAGAACTTTAAACCCAGCTGAATGTAATTATTCGACGATTGAAAAAGAACTTTTAGCAATCGTATGGGCAACAAAATATTTTCGACCTTATCTTTTTGGTAGAAAATTCACAATCTTGTCAGATCACAAACCTCTACAATGGCTATTTAATGTTAAAGAACCAAGTTCTAAACTAGTCAGATGGCGACTAAAACTATCTGAATTTGATTATAAAATCGAATACAAAAAAGGAACATTAAACATGAATGCAGACGCACTATCAAGAATTCCTGCAATACAACTTCATGCCATTCAAAAATCAGATCCAGATGCCAGATTAACATCTTCAGATGAAGAATTTCATAAAAAATTAGGATTACCTAATGCTGAAAGATACACCATTATGTAATGATGAAATCATAGCAAAATACTTTACAGATTCTAGAGTATATCTTCCTAAACAAAGCGAGATAGCTAAAGAAAAAGAGATAACAATGTCTGAATCAACTCAATCAACAAAAACAGCATCAGAAAAGGAACCTGAAGAGGAACCTAAGAAAGCAAAACCCAAAATAAAGATATTATCACAACTAATAATACCTCCAAGAAAAGAGAAAAAAGAAATTCCCATAGAAATCGGAGAATCTTCGAAAACTCAAAAAAGTAATAGACAAATAACACCAACTAATCGTTCTTCAACAATTTCAGCCTTGTCTGAAAATGACCAAACAATACTATGTCTATGGAAAATCCAATATTAGGAGCTCCATATACTAAGAAACATGTATGTATTTGGAAATCAAATTGTATTTCGATATTCCAATAATAACACAATTAGAAAAGAGATAATCAAACTATTTGATAATAAAAAGAGAATAATATTCTTCTTACCAAATAATCCAACAACATCACAAATTACTAATTTAGTAAAGGAATACATGCCACCTGGTATTTATTGCCTTCATTTCCTAAATAAATCGTTAGAACCTATTGTGATACGAGCATTACAAGAATCGTTTAATTCGAATTCATTTACTTTGTACATCTCGAACTTTCTATTAGAAGACATCACAGAAGTTGATCTTCAACAAGAGAAAATTCAGCAATATCATGAGACTAAAACCTCTCATAGAGGAATCACTGAAAATATTGCAGCCTTAAAGAAAAGATTCTCTTGGCCCAATATCGAGAAAGACGTACAGAATTATGTCAAAGTATGCGAGATATGCAATAAAACCAAGTATGAACGTCAACCATACAAAATCATATTCAAACCAAGACTTATTGGTATGAAACCCTTTGAAAATATTTATATTGACACGTATATAATCAATAACCAGAAATTTCTGACCATTATTGATAGCTTTTCAAAATTTGGTCAAGCCTCTCCTGTAAATACGAAAACAGCTGTTGAGATATCATCACAGTTATTGAAATATTTTAGTGATCATGGAATACCTCAAAAAATCACATCAGATAATGGAGCAGAAAAATGCTGTAATGACAGATCTTTGTACCTACATTATACAAAATTGAGTTTCATTACACAACTCCAAGAAACCCGAACTCGAATAGTCCAATCGAACGATTCCATTCGACATTACGTGAAAGTATAACGAGTTTGAAACTTCAAAACCCGAATAAGAGTATTATCGATCTAATGACAATCGCTATATTGAATTATAACAACAGTACTCATAGTACAATGAATCACACCCCTTTTCAAGTGATTAAAGGAGATTTGAATTATGCCATACCAATCGAACAAACGGAAAATAAACTAACAACTGACTATATAACAAGTTTGGCAGAATTCCTTGCGAATTTGAATAAAGAAATTCAAGAAAAATTATTAGCGAAACAAACAAAGTCTTTAGAAACGCGTAATAAAAATCGTGAACCTGAACCAGAATTACAATATCCAATCTTTGTAAAACAATTTAATCGAGACAAGATAAGTCCGCGTTATGATAGTAAAACACATCGCTTTGCTAAACAAAATGTTAAACGACAATAATTTATTTCAGGTACTCCGAGATGAATCCTTTAGTATTCCTAACTCTCGTTGGAGTCACCCAAGCGTATACATTGATGACGGTAGAAAATCCTATTTTACCAATTTCTTTAGGAACTACTTACGTAACAACTCAACATAACACGGCCTATTATCACATAAACACGACAATTATCATACAAAGTATCCATAAACTGGAAATTACCTTAATGAAATTATCTGGCACTCTTAACAACACAACATGGTCAAACCAATTTGTTGCACTGTTTCAAACAAATATTGAAAACAGTCATTCTCAAATTAAGATTATGAAACAAGTTATCAGAACCTATCAAGACCGAAAACGTAATAAAAGAGGTCTATTAAATTTCATGGGCACAGCACAAAAATGGCTCTACGGAACCCTAGATGCTGAAGATGGCGCAAGATATGATTCTTATATCCAGACGCTCAATGATAATCAAAAAACTCTCAATCAAGATCTAAAAATACAAGCTCAAGTAATGAAACAAGTTACAAAAACATTTCACGATCAATTTTTAACTATTGAATCTAACCAAAAGGTTATCACAGGAAAATTACAAAATATTTCCTTGGAAAACCAAAATTTCCACTCAATGTTAACCTTTAATCTAATATTGAACAACATCAATATTCAAAGTAATAAAATAAGGAATCTTATTGATCATGTGCAATTAGCAATAAATTTTGCACAATTGGGAATAATGCATTATACTATTTTACAGCATAATGAATTAAATCAAAAATTAACAAATATACCCAAAAGTCAGCAAATACCTTTTGATAATAAAATCAAGTATTACGAGACAATGAAAACTCAAGTAAAAATCCAAAATGAGTTAATTATATTTGTTATACACACACCAATGATTGATCCCAAGCCCTTTATATTGTATAAAATCTATCCAATTCCTATCCAAGAACTTACCATTAGGAATAAGTACCCTTACCTATTACTTACTACGGACATTTACTACAATACGTTATGGGAATGCCCGAAAGTGTGTACCTTTGTAACCAAGAAGAGCTGAAGCAAGAAGAATCATGTGTCTATGACCTGATTACTGACCTACCACAACAATGTCCTTTCACTAAAGTGAAATATGAAAAACCAACAGTGAGACATCTCCCGAATGGACAACTATTAGTCATTCCTAAGAAAAGCCTGACCATAGTTATTCAATGTGACAAGACAAACCATATGGAAATAATAACAAACCCAACGCTAGTTTCGTTTGAAAAATGCTTTGTGAAAATACAAAATCCAACATTTTCAAAAACCAGCGAGAACTTCAATTTTGAACTGAAGATTCCAAGAATAGACATCCCTGAACTTCCAGAGAACGCAACAACATTGCAACTTCAAGAAATCAACCAAGAAGACTTAGAAGAAGCCTTCAAGACGACGAAACAAATAAGAGTTCATTATCTAAAAGAATTGTCTTTTGAACACTCTTATTTAAACACATATGTAATCATAGGTTTAAGTCTTGCTATTTTATTTTTAATTTTACTGTTTTAGGAAGTTTAAAAACTTCAGAAAAAGGTTGTGCAAATTGAATTGTCTGATTTGAATTCACAACAATCCACGTTTGTAACATCTTAAGGAGGGAGGAGTTATATTAACCAGTTGCCATGCTGATTTATAATCAATTATCTATTTTTTATATGCTTTAAGGTGCTTACCCCTTTCCTCTAGGACTTTTTTAATACATTGTTGTAAAGTAAACATCAAATTGCTATGTCGGCATTAAATGATTATTTAAGCCGATGCAGTCCCATAAGGAACGTTCATTTGTTTTCTGGCTTTAACCTGTAGCAATTTGATCCGAATATTTTCTTTTGTCACCTCTGTATTTTAATCAATAAAATAAATGTTTTTTAAAATACAAGTTTCTGAATCGAAAATATAATTTACGTACATGTTTTCAGACATTCACGTCCGTGTGTAACCGCCTATAGGATATACGATTATTGAAAAGTACTATTTAATAATCATGTCTTTTTTTATTTCTTTTTAAATTAAAACAATTTTACAAATAGAGGAGATAATCCACAAATTTTTGTTTTTTCCTCGAGTTCCTCTTCGAAACAGCATCACAGTACCCACATCAGCACACTCTTAGGGTCGGTTTCTCAATCGCAAGTCGCCTCCGGGTTGGTTTTAACTCCAGAGTAAACTAAACCTATTCAGCTGGATTTATACTTAACCCGGGGATTACTTGCTATTAAGAAACCGGCCCTTAAAATTTCAATAATTAAAAAAAAAAGCAATTAATAATAATTAATAATCCTAAAAGCTAAAACAAAAAAAAAAAACAATAAATTCGAGCAATTATTAAGGGTGTAAAAAGACTGGCATAAAAAATGTCTTCGACTCAAAATAAAAAAGATTGAAGAAAAAATAAAATGACTAAAACTATCACAGTGGGTCGAAAGAACTACACAAAGCAAGGCCACGCGGAAGTTTCAGAGCGTGCAAATAGAATTTTGAACACCCTGTATATTAGTGAAAAAAAATCTTATTAATATAATAATATAGTCAATAGCTTTTTACAGGATATGTGCCATGCATTTTATAAACTCTAGTTAGTTGGAGGAATAATTTACTGTAAGAGTCAACTAGAATTTATAAAACTATGCTTTGTGAAATAAATTGGTAAACTGCTGTTACTTTTTGTTGGGGAGTCAAAGTCGTTTTTTTTTAATAAGTCCTAAATCTAAAAACATAGTACCTAAACATCTAAGTCGCTCTTTTTTAAAATTGTTATTCTATACGTCTTTATATGGCTACACAATTGCTTAAAATTATGTGGAGGAAATTAAGCTGCTTTTACTTTTGTGTCAATTAAACTTTGGCGGATATTTTTTTGACTAGACTATATAAGTCAAAATGTGGCTGTTTGGAAGGAATAATAATGGTAAATAATAGGACAGCTAAAATTAACCACATTTCGAAACAATTACTTGTACATTATAATATTATTTTCTTAAAATTTAATTATAAAGCAATTTTTGTTACTTGTTGGCAGTTTTTGAACCTCAAAAATTATAATGCAAAAAAATATACATACGATGTTGCGGGTACTGCACATGGACTGCAACACTAACTAGAGGGAGATAAATAAATGAGTTTTAAAAATTTGAATAACTCAAAAAAAAAAAAAAAAAAGTTCCTTACATTGTACAGTTTTACTTGCAGTCTTTCTAGTTTCTAATTACCTTAACTCTGTAATAATTCTAATAATAAATTCATTGTATTCAATTTATATATTTGTCAAATGGATTATCATTTTTTTTTTTGTTTTTTTTTTCATAAGTTTTTGGTTTTTTTTTTTTTTGTATCAAGCAGTGGTTTTATTCATTTTTTTATATAAGTTGCCGCCACACCCAACTCTTGTACTAAGAAAATATAAAATGTTCTAAGAAATTTTCATTTAATAAACAATTCAACTAATTAAAGCTATCCGCAACCACAACAGTTTATTATGGAGGAATATTAATTGTAAACATTTTATAATTGATTAGTAGTTTTGTTTGAGGCCCAAGAATTGATATTAATTTCAAAAGAACCAGCTTTTTTTTTTTGTATTATATTCAGCTTTATTTAAGCAGCATTTTGTTCACTTTATCAAATACACATTTTCTAGAAATTACTCATAATAACCTTTTTTTATTATTATCAATTTTTTTTTTGTGGTCATCAACAATACATATCTTCTTTTTTTTTTTTGTTTTTAAATAAATGACTTACAAATTACATATCTTCAAAAGAACGCCACATTTTTTTTGGAAAAAAAAAAAAAAAATACAAACGAATATGTTGTTTTTTTTTTTTTTGGGGAAAGTTTTTTTTTTGGTACTGTGCCGTGCCAGGAAAAAAAAAATTGCCCTATTATTCGGTAATGGTGCCGGGATAGTGACGCGTCCTGGAATTCGGGACGAATCCTTTTGTACCGTCAGGTCCTTTCGGTTGTCGAACTACTAACAGTTTGGGTCCGGCGTCGTCCAACGAGATAGTTCTCAGTCTACTGATTAGTCTTTCAGGTCGGGCTTGAACGTCGCTAGAAAAGAAAAGTTTGATTAACATTCTGGAATTTGATTGGCTTTGATTTGAGCCTAATTGACTTGTCCCGCATAAATAGAAAAAGAGAGCTTAATTATTGTAATACATAATTATAATTGATGGTAAGTCCACTGGTTGGAACAGACCTCTCGTGTTTTTCGGCTCTCATGTTTTTATTATTTTTGGCGCACTAAATTCGAATTATTTGTTGAGTGTAATATGTACGTATGCGGAAATTTTTTTCCTATGTGAGTGTTATAAAAATGTTGAAATTCTCCCAAAGATAAGCACTGAAATCCGGAAATACTGAACGTTTTATCTCTGCAGGCATAAACAAATAATATTATAAGTAAGAAAAAAGTTTTGAATAAACAAACACTGATAGTGGCTCTCTGGGACAGTTTATCACCGAATTTACGCAAATTCTTATGGTTTTAACACAGCTTTAATGAAGAAATTTTTCACCTGTGTAGATTTGTTGATAAACTCTGTCTAACGAATGTTGAACGTTGAAGATCACTTAGGGTGGGTATTATAAAACTACTTTGAGAGTTAACTTAAAGTTAACTTCTGGAATTACATGCAATTCAAAAAGTAAACTTCAAGTTAACTGTCAAAGCAGTTTTATAATACCCGCCCTTACTCGAATAAATCACAGACGTTGCTTTTTGCTGCTGTCTTTATTGCACGCGCACAGTGTTTATCAAGACAGCAGCAAAAAGCAACGTCTGTGATTTATTCGAGTAGGTGACTTTCAACGTTCAACATTCGTTAGACAGAGTTTATTTCTATTCTTGATATTTAAAAATTGGAATTGGCTTTAAAAAAAATCATCATGAATCCCCTCAATTATTCTAAATGCAACAGATTCTGCGTACTTAAATCCTGCTCACGGATTCTATTTTACCATTCGAGTCGAAATTCGTATCGAATTGTCAAAATAGCGATTCTATTCTTCAATTTTTCGATATTTATTACACGATACGTATGGAGCTGTCGTATTAGATATTGAGTGTCAATAGACAATCGATTCGACTCGTAAAATAGAATCCGGCAGCAGGCCAAATGAGAACGAAGTATTCAGAACTTATTGTGATAAATGTAAAGTTCCATTATGCAAAAAATGTGTAAAAATCAGCACAACAGAGGCTCACACAATTGCTCTCAGCCAAAGAAATTTTATATTCATGTGTAGGAACTGTAGATTAATCTTGAAATATCTGCCAGACTTCAAAGTGCTTTTGGAGGCATATGACAGAGAGGGTAAAATCAAACAACAAAAATACTCAAATTGATAATTTAGGGCAGGAGTTAGAGGACTTGAGGCAAGAAATGATGATTAGGATAATACATTTGGAGACTAACAACAAAGAGAAGGAGAATTTCATTAATCGACTTCAGAGGAGTTCTGTTGATTTTCAGGACTCAGCTGTCGCTGCCGACAGGCATGCTGAGGAAAAGATAAGGAGTCTTGAAGAAGAAAAAAGAAGTTTAAATAGGGAGATTTTGAAGCTGATGGAGAGGAACAGCCAGTTGCTAGCTGAGGCGCAGGGCCAGCAAGATAAAGCTGAAAGATTTATGGAAGACATAAGTAAACTTATGTGTCTTAAAGGCAACCTTATCTTATGTCAAGTATAGAAATCTTATCAAAAGAAAACGAGGTTTATGTCGAAGATTTTGAGAGGGCAAGCAAAGAGATATATGAGCTTAGGAACTCATTGAAATTTTCCGCTGTGTTAAAGTCAGCAGTGGCTTCTCTATGTATCCCTCCAGGAACCCTGGTAGAACAGTTCAGTTGAAAATTCTCAACTAAATCCCGTTACTGATAGTGGTAGTTTTTAATGATGGTTTTCCTTTGAGAATAATAAGAAAAAAGCGCAAAAAGCCACGGATCTCAGAGTTTCAGCAAAAAATCTAATATTTTCACATACTGTGCGGAAATATTATTCACATAATGCCTTTTTTTTAGCATATTTTGACAAATACCGAAATATTTATAGAAAACCCTTGCGGCTTGCAAAAAACTTTTATTTCAAGGATCGTTTAACCAGAGCAAGTGATAAGCAAAAAGAGAGTTGAAAGATCGTTAATGATCTCAGAGACAAAAATGTCAGAAGTGAAATCCAAACTTCGGTGGAACCAAATGTTTTTAATAATTATTTTTACACTATAGTTGGAGACCTGGCTACAAATATTTCCCCAATTTCCAACTCATTGGATTATTTGAAGGATACTTGTATAACGGACTCGTTCTACCTTTGGCCAACTGATTCGGGCAAACTTCGAACCAAGGTTGGCAGGATATATATCAGCGATAAATATCCTGATACATATCTTGATAAATATCATGATATTTATGCAATAATATTTGTATGGCCTTTTTTTTCCTATTTTATAGTTTTATTATTTTTTTTTATGAGAAGGAAATCATAGGGATTTTATTTATTTTTATTTGTGTATAAGAAATATTAGGTTTTTAGGGCGGTTATTATGAAACTATTTTAACAGATAACTAAAAGTTAACTTCTGGAATTTCTATGAGAAGTAACGTCATTCCAGAAGTTAACTTCCTATTATTCTGACAAAATAGTTTTTTCTAATTTTGACATTTAAAGTGACACTTTTCAAAACTCGTTGACGTTATCAAATGTCTTACTTTTCATCACCAGTTGCGAAAAGTAAAATTTTTCGTAACTGGTGATAAAAAATAAATTTGACCATCAGTTGCGAAAAATACAGAAATAAAATTTGTGATAATTTTAACGCTAAACTACTTGAAGTATTGTTATTATATTCTTTGTAGGCACATATGGAAATTTAATTTGACCATGAACTAAATTTAACATAGGGCCAAATCATATTTGCTTTTTGACTTCCTAGGAATAATTTATTGTAGATAAAGCAGATTGAGCCGACTCCTCAATGTCACTCGGTACGTCGCTTCCTGAATTGATGGACATTAGAATCTAATAATAATTATTCTTTTACTCTATAAAGTTTGAGTGGTTTATATAAGAACAATATTAGTTAAAATTATTTACTTTTTCAAAAATTAGAGACGCAGACTTGACACCTCTATGCTTAACACTATTACTTCTGTAGCAACGAAAAACGAAATACTCAACAAATAAACATCTCTTAACTCACCTGACGCTTGACAATTAGACATAATTATTCGAAATATGTTTTTCATATGTATTTTTAACTTGAATTAAACCGGATCACATCGTCAAAATTAGAAAAAATATTGTGTGAAACACGTTGGGAAACACTATTTTTCGTAACTCTCTTCCTTTTGCGGAACTCGCTTCGCTCGTTCCGCAGAAATCATTTCGTTACGAAAAATAGTGCTTTTCCCAACTGGTTGCACAAATAACTATTATAATACCAGCCCTAAGTTGTAACTTTTTTTTTTGTTGAGTTCAGAGTTGTCATTTTTTTTTGTTGTTGAATCATGGCTTAAGGCAATCATAAGTAGTATAAATAACACGAATGCTTCCATATTCTCAAACTAGAATTTTTATTTTTCTACTACACTTTACATTTCTATACATATGTATAGTAGATAGGATAAGAGCACTAAAACTTGTTATCGCCATACCAACTTTACATGTTTGTATAATTTTATTAAATTCACCATAAAGTTATTTTGAATTTCAATAATATAGATAACAGAAAACAGATGAACTTATTTAAATAATTAAAAATATAAATAAATATCCAAATTTTGATATATATCCGATATATATCGATATATATCGGATAATTGGATATTTATATAAATATCATGATATTTGCCAACCCTGCTTCGGACCATCTTCAGTGATATTAAAAATAAAACTGCAGTCGGGTGGGACGGAATTTCTCTGGCTGATGCCATCAACATCTCTTTCTTAAAGGGGGTGTGCGCCAAAAAAACTTCATCTCAAAAAAAAAAAGAGAGAAAAAATCTAAGAATAACAGTGAAATCCGCATCCCTCTATGACAAATAATGCCGCAGATATGGCTCTATGAAGGTACCGCATCTCACCCTTTGACGTCACGAAAGCTCAAGCGAGAAAGTGGAGTTAATTAAATTTACATATGTTTTTCCTGTGTTACCTGCAATAATCTAAACAAAACCCACTCAGGGGTGCCGGGAACAATCAAATTAACAAAGCGGAGCGCGGCTGGATGAAGTTCTCGTGACGTCACGAAAGCGTCGTCCACACTTTAAAGCGGTATATCTCATATATGGTTTATCGTAGAATAACGAGGTTTGAACATTTATTCTCAGATTTTTTTACACTAAAACTTTAATTTTTCGCGCACACCCCCTTTAAGGGGAATTTTCCCAAACTCATTGAAAAAATCGATAGTTATCCCAATTTTTAAAAATGGTGACACTGAGTATCCCGCTAAGTTTAGACCCATCTCATTAATAACCACACTTTCAAAAATAGTCGAAAAGTTGGTGAAGATACGAGTTAACTCATTCATTGATGGGCATGGTATTTTGAGTGTGTCTCAGTATAGATTTCGGGCAGGGAAAAACACAAACGACGCGGTATTTTCTTTCCTAAATAACCTAAATCTTACACTGAATGAGAGAAAACAGGTTGCAGCAGTGTTCTGAGATCTTTCAAAAGCGTTTGACTGCATCACAGAATACTGCTTCAACAGCTTGAGGCGTATGGTTATCGGGGTATTGCTCTTGCCTGGTTCAAGTCTTACTTGAATGAAAGAACACAGAGGGTGGGTGTGCGAGGTTCCGAATCTAGCGAACTGACTGTTCTCTCCAGAGTACCGCAGGGCTCCATACTGGGACCTATTCTGTTCTTACTTTATGTCAACGACATTGCCACTCTCAGGATTAAGGGTACTTTCACGTTATTTGCAGATGACACCATTATATTGTGGCATAGTTTTGATCCTATTGAGTTGAGAGACAATTTCTAAAGATATTGCACATGTGAAGCTATTGTGCGATGCCAACTATTTATCTCTTTAATATTTCCAGGACAAATAATATTTTACAATTCAATGGTTCTTTGCCCGATATAGCCCTTGACACAAATGAAATTTCAAATTGTACAGATGTTAAATTTTTGGGTTTATGTATAAATAGCAAGTTATGTTTCAAAACCTACATCTTAAATCTTTGTTCAAAGTTGGCAACAGGCTGTTTTGTTGTGAGAGTTGTGTCACGTGAACTTAATATAAGTATGTCTCGTACAGTTTACTTTTCTTTGGTAGAGTCCCGCATCAGATATGGTATTCCTTTCTGAGGAAACTCTAGCCAATATTGGGACAGACTATTACACATTACAAAGAAAGAAGGAACGATTAATTCTAAACTGGCCCCTGAATAAGAATATGACACAAGCCTGTAACACTTGCAACCCACGAGTTACACGCACAGTCAAGGTAAAAAGAGATAGGTCAATTGCATTTGGATCTTATTGAAATTAACAGAGTTGTGAGGCAAAATGAGTGCCTATGTCTTTGTTTAGATAATTTGTAACTTTTTTGATCTTTGTTGAATTAATTTGAATTTTTGTTTTGTCCTACTCCAATGCCTTTGAAACAATACCACAAAATTTCATAATAATTATAGCTTGAATAGTTTTTGAGGAATTACTCAATTTATACAAGAATGTTATATTCTTAGGTTTGAAGTTTTTGACTATATTTCGACTAAAATTCCACTTTGCTCTTTCTGATAGTGTATAATGATTTGTTCAAATTTCAATAAGGGACAGACTAGGCAAGTGCATCTTTTTCATACAAAGTATCATAGGGCTAAATATGTTTTTTTCTGCCCTATGTCTAGAATATGCAGAGAAGCTAATCAGCTACCCAACAATTTTGATTTTTTTGGCATGTCTCTGAAAGCTTGTAAACAACTGTTAAATGGTCTGCATCGCTGAATGTCAGTGTATTTATATCAATCAAAGATTGCTATGGTTTTTTAAACGGATATATCAGGTCATCAAAAAAAAAAACAATCAAAGATTGCTTTGATTATGAAAACGTACGTCGCATTATTGTTTCTTTATTGGTCAGGATTTTTGACATGACATTTTGACATTAAGTTCATTGACAAAATGAAAGGAAAATTTTGCTAAGACATACGTTTGAAAAACCATAGCAATCTAGACCCGATATATGTACCTTAAATGTTAAATTTTAAGTTGTTGTGTTTTTCTTTAATATTATAACGTCATATATTTTCGTATTATGTTATTTACTGTAAATGGCTTGTCCGTTAATAAAGTTTATGTTTATATATTTATATTGGCATTTTTTCTTAAGCTTGTCAGAATTTTAAAAAATTGAGATTTTGCATAAGTGATTTTTGCACACTTTTAAAGTTTTTCCATGCATCAACATGAGAAAAACCTTTCAAATTCAATTGGGAGCTTCAAATTCACTTCCAATTGAGTTTTCCATAAACACGAAACCGGAGGTGAGTTGGTCTAATGATGGGTATGGAGTTGATGTTGTATGTCCTGGAAATTCAAGTGCCTCAAGTGTAGCCACATCTTTTGATTTTCTAAATCTCTTTCAAGTTAATACTATTCCCAATAACAGAGGGGTACTTTTAGACTTGCCATTCAAAAATTTGGCTAACTTAGTTATTAATAAGGTTAGTGATCCCCTCTTTGAGGATAGTCATCACCACATTGCTTACGATTGTGTGATATTGCTTGATGAAAGGAATAAAACAAGGTTAGAGGTAACTAATTTTTACTACGATTTTAAAAATTGTAACTTTGTGGGGCTTAATGATTATCTTGAATCAATTCAGTGGAGCAATATCCTTTTTAATACTGATGTAAATAATGCTACATCACTGTTCTATGAAGTGCTGGCCAAGGCCATTGCATGTTTTGAACCTGTAAAAAAATCCAAAACAAGTTGTTTTCCTAAATGGTTCTCGGCAGAACTTAAGCATTTAACTTCTATAAAAAGAAAAGCCCATAAAAGGTATTTCAATGATAAAACTAATTTAAACTATCAGGAAATTTCTTTTCTTAGATCTCGATGTAAAAAACTCTCTAGTGACTATTGGGCCGAGTAGATAATTAATGTAGATAACAGCTGTAAGTCCACCTCTAGGTATTTTTGGAAATTTGTTAGGGATCAAAAAAGTTCTTATAGTCTTTCCTCAAAAATGGTCTATAACGACCAAGAGTTAAGTCAGGGACAGGATATTGCCAATTCACTTGGTGATTTTTTTTTTCAGTGTGTACTCATCTAGCCCTCCATTTGATCACACGTTGACAGAAGCTTATCCTAACAATAATATTAATTGGCACTCGATTAGCAGTCAAAGCATTTTTGAAACAATAATGAGCCTCTCTGATAGAGTCACGGTAGGGCCCGATGGAATTCCTGAGTTACTTTTAAAGAATGTGTCTGTACACTTATAAAAGCAATCACAATTTTATTTAATAATTCTATGATTGGTTCGAAATACCTAGAGCTTTGGAAACAAAGCTTTTTAGTGCCAATTTTTGAGAGTGGCGATAAACAAAACATAATAAATTATAGAAGCATTTGTACCCAATCAAGCTGATATGTGAGCAATTGACATAGGCCTGCCGAGTACTGCTTTACAAGGGGCAAATCCACAAATACCAACTTGATCTTATATCAGTCATAAGTGTCATTACTGTTGAAGGCCGTGGAAGATAAGAATCAAGTTGCTGCTATCTATACAGATTTTTCCAAGGCCTTTGACAGTGTTGATCATGGTTTGCTCTTTGGAAAATTGCATCAGTTTGGGTTCCATTCAAGCATAATTCTAAGGGTTTCTAGTTCTTTTACTGGTAGAGTACAAAAAGTTGAGATTGGTGGTTTTTGTCTGAAAATATTTTAGCAACATCTGGTGTACCGCAGGGCGGCCACTGTTCACCGTTGCTTTTCAATATATTTATCAATGATATTACAAAAACTTTCATCATAGTATACCATTAGTTTTTGCAGATGATTTCAAATTTCTTAGAATAATAAATAATGATTCTGATACTGTATTATTATAGGATGATTTAAGTCAATTAATCACATGGTGCGAGGTAAATAAGCTAAAGTTAAATGTTGACAAATGTTATACAATAAGTTTTTTTAAAATTGAAATACATTAAGGTTCTGTGCATATGGGACTGGAGTTTGAGTGATCGATCACAATTATGAAGGCATAAGAATGAGTCTTAAACTTGAGTCCCTGGAGTGTCGTAGATTAAAGATCGAATGCGCTTTGTTTATGATCTTCTTAATTACCACATATATTGCCCTCAATTGCTTGAGCAAATCAAGCTTTATGTTCCTGTAAGACAAGAGACACAAATATCTGTTTCATCTTGATTTTCACAGAACAGAATTTGGCCTGAACTCTCTTTTAAGTAGGAGTCTCACTGATAAATCAGAATAGTTTGGAAGTTTACTGGAATAACTAAAGGCAGGTTCATCAAGTTGTGTGATAGAGTGGTTGTGTAGGAGCTATGATAGATGCTATAGTTAGTAAATTTTTGGGTTTCTTTAACTTCAGAGATAGGAAATTATAATAAATTGTCTTATAGGAGGTATTAATGAGTATTATTTTAGCTAATCACATTTAGTTAGTTTTGTAAAAATAATACATTTTGTTGAATTTTAATATTGAGGCGGAGATAGTCCCTTTAATAAATAAATAAATAGATAATTGTGGAAATTACTGGGATAAATAAGTGCTGAAAGCAGGTTTATTGGGTTATGTGATAAGGTGGTTATGTGTAGAAGAATAGTTACATTATTGAGTTTCCTTAGCTTTGGTAATATGAAATTAAATTGTTTTATCATAGGTATTGATAATTATGGCTGATCACATTGGGTTTTGTATACATAATATATTTTGTAAGATTGTTACTTTTGTATGTGGTAGTCCCGTCAATAAATAAATAAATTTCATAAATCCTGAAAGTTTTAAGTCACTGTGATCATTAGAAATACTTTGCACAAGTGATTTTTGCAGATTTTAATAATTTTCACATGCATTAACGTGAGAAAATGCTTCCAAATATGGTTCGAAGCTTCAAATCAACATCAAATTAACTTTTCTACAAAGAAGAAACTTCAATTCATAAATCCTGAAAATTTCAAGTCACTGTGATCATTAGAAGTACTTTGCACAAGTAATTTTTACAGATTTTAATCATTTTTGCATGCATTAATATAAGAAAAAGCTTCCAAATTTAGTTTCAAATCAACCTCAAATTAATTTTTTCACAAAGAGGAAACTTCAATTCATCAATCCTGAAAGTTTCAAGTTACTGTGATCATTAGAAGTATTTTGCACAAGTGATTTTTACAGATTTTAATAATTGTTGCATGCATTAGCGTAAGAAAAAGCTCCCAAATTTAGTTTGGAGCTTCGAATTAACTTTTCCACAAAGAGGAAACTTCAATTCATAAATCCTGAAAGTTTCAAGTTACTGTGATCATTAGAAGTACTTTGGACAAGTAATTTTCACAAATTTTGGTCATTTCTTCATGCATTAACATAAGAAAAAGCTCCCAAATTTAGTTTGGAGCTTCAAATCAACTTCAAATTAACTTTTCCACAAAGAGGAAACTTCAATTCATAAATCCTGGAAGTTTCAAGTCACTGTGATCATTAGTACTTTGCACAAGTGATTTTTACAGATTTCAATCATTTTTGCATGCATTAACTTAAAAAAAAGCTTCCAAATTTAGTTTGGAGCTTCAAATCAACTTCATATTAACTGTTCCACAAAGAGGAAACTTCAATTCAGTATAATTTATTTTGAACTTTTCTCTTTGATCCATTCTAACAGTTCTTACCTAACTTTAACAACGTTACAAGCCGAAGATTTGCCACTCCGATGATTGGTAACTAAAACAAACTCGACAGTGTCGCCAACGTTAAGCGCAACATTGTCCTTAACCTCAGTCATGTGGAAAAACAGCTTCTTGCCCTCCTCCACTTCGTAGGCCAAAAATCCAAAGTGTCCCTTGATGGCGTCCACTGTAGCCCGCAACTTTTTACGCACCGCGATTATGTTAGCGGCACGTCGCGTCGAGTCCACCTGGAACTGGACTTGGTCGCCCACTTGCAACAATTCACGTTTATTCACCAGACCCATTATACCAAATTCATATTCGGCCGATTTGTCTTCAGGATTTTCAGTGCGGACTTTGATCAGGCCTGAGTATTCTGATTGGTCTGGATTGACGGATCTTAGCGGACGCACTACAACACCTTCTACTATATCACCGTGAACTGCTGGCAAGTCTACAGAACCTACAAAATTATTTATGTTAGCAGAATACAATAGAATTTTATTAACGGACATGCCATTTTGTAAAAGTAAAATATTTGAAAGAATGTTTGAAGCCTATACTACCTGTCACACAAAACTTAAAGGATGCAGGCCCTGAGGCTTCAAAAAAATATAATATAGCATCTTAGCCAAGTCCAAATTGATTCAAAATACACAATTTGAAAAATATTAAGACTAAAATGCAGCTTTTTTAATTACTAATCCTTACCTTTGGCAATACATTTGACATTTTCCGCAGACGAACAAGATCCAGAATTACCCCTGGAACCCAAATTGTACTCGACCTCTTGGCCCAATTCCAGCGTGTTGGCATCCCCCTCGAAATTACTAAAGTGGAAAAACACTTCTTTGTCATGTTGCATCGTTTCAATAAAACCGAAACCGTCTTTTAGAGCGGCAATGAAGCCTTGGTAGAGTTGCCCGTTGTTGGTACCGGTGCTGCCAATGCTGATGTTGGCAGGGTTGGTACTGTTTCTGGTCATTGGCTGTTGCTTGATGCCATTGGTTTGCATTGCGGATTGGGTTATTTCGACGTTTGCGGCTATGAATTCTTTTGATCTTTTCACTTGGTTTATGTCGAATTTGATCTGGAAATTTTACAAATTTTACAAAATTGCTAGTTGCATTGTATAATGGAACAAATTATGTTTTTAAAATCAAAAAGTGCTCCTAGCATATATGGATTTTTCAATATAATCTCATTGAAACCAAATATTCACATCCTATGATTTGATAATTCAACAAAACATCTATAGGTTCTCAATTAGTGGGCATAGTATCTCAAGTCAAATTTAACTCTATGGAAAATAAATTAACACGATTTTATCTCAGGAACTATAAGTGCAAATGAGCTAAAAGTTTCAGGGATTGTAGTCCCTTGATTGGGATAAAATTCAGTGAAAGTTTCAGCTTTCTATCTATAATAGAAAAAAAGTTACGACCTTTAGAAGTTTTCCAAAATCTAAATCATAAGGTAGGTACCTTCTTACTAAAACGATGAAATTCCAATTTTTTTTTTTGTCGAGATTTTGTATCCTAATGGTCAATTAACATCCCCCAAACTCCAAACACTAAATTATTCTCAGATTTGAAGCCGAAATCTATGAAAAAAGGCACTCAGAAAAATTGAAAAATTGATAAATCACCCCAAATTGCTTAACACGATTCTATCTCAGGAACTAATAGTGCAAATGAGCTGAAATTTTCAGGGATCATAGTCCCTTGATTGGGATAAAATTCAGTGAAAGTTTCAGCTTTCTATCTATAATAGAAAAAAAGTTACGACCTTTAGAAGTTTTCCAAAATCTAAATCATAAGGTACCTTCTTACTAAAACGATGAAATTTCAAATTTTTTTTTGTCGAGATTTTGTATCCTAATGGTCAATTAACATCCCCCAAACTCCAAACACTAAATTATTCTCAGATTTGAAGCCGAAATCTATGAAAAAAGGCACCCAGAAAAATTGAAAAATTGATAAACCACCCCAAAAACACGGCCAGAAGGCTTTGGGAAGAAAATATAATTAATCTATACACCAAGAGAACAAATTATTTGAGATTTGAACGAGGAAGTTGTGAACTTTTTGAAATCAAATTGCCCCTTTTGGAGCAAAATACAAACTTTTCAGACACTAAAAGCTTCAACTAAGACACAACAATAAGGACTTGGAAGAATCTCTGGATTTGAAAAGATATTAAAGACTGGATACTCCAAAAAATCTGAACCTTGAAGGACTTTAAAGACCATAATAAACAGCAAGAGTTTCTGGATTTCTCAAAAATGGACATTTTCTTCTATACATGCCTCCACATTTTGACTATTTACTCAAAAACTACTCGAGACGCAAATATGAGATTTCTTGGAACTCCGAAAATCCAAAGACACTATGAATAAATTCCAATTCTTAGTTAATGTAGGGACTTTTCAGGTTATGCTAAAAGGTATACCGAAGATTCTTACCTTATCTCCAACCCTAGGCAAATGCTTGGCATCACAATCCTTAGCATAATAAGTAATAGTTTTCTTAATCCCATTGACTGAATATCCAATAAGTCCCGGCTCGTTGGCTTCACCGCCACCAAAACCGTTTTGATTTTTAGTCGGACTACGATTTTGCCAGTTGCTCAACGGTATTTCTTTGGTTACGACGCCGCTCAATTCGCTATCAATCAAGTTTTCAAACTGCACAGTCCCGGCAGGCAACCATTTCATCCTGATAGCGCTCTGTCTGTTTTCCTTGTTTGCGTACGAGTTGGTTTGATCTTGGATTACTGTAAACTCGAATTCATCACCGACTTGAAGTTCGTTGGTTTTATTTACGTCCAGCACTTCATTGAAGTGAAAAAACAATCTGGCTTCGCGTTCAACGCATTTTAAAAAGCCAAAACCCTCTTTAAGTGAAGCTACGACGCCTTGTTCGCGTTTTTCTCCTGAAGCGGAAAAACTCTCGTCCAGCAAGACAATGTGAGTGGCTCGGTCCAATGCGTCTCTTCTATCAGTAGCTATTTGAAATTTAACCCAATCACCGTATCTCAGTGTAAAATCTCCCATTTGGTCTTTTTCACTAAAAGAAATTTCCCTAATTTCCTTCGAATCCGCGACCTTGTATGTAATGCGTCCAGGCAACGGTTCATTAGCAGTCCTAGGACTCTTATCAATAGCCTTAGTAACTTGTCCTTTAAGAGTCTCAGGTTTTAAGTCCTCAAAAATAACCGTCCCTGGCGGCAATTTTGTAATATTACACGCAACTTCTTTACCGTTACGCGTCTGAATTGTGTACTCGACATCATCACCTAATCGTAGTTCCTCTTTGGTTTTGGCTTCTGAGAAGTGGAAAAATATTTCTTTAACAACGTCGGCGCGTTCGATGAAACCGAAACTGTCTTTTAGCGAACAAACCACGCCTTGATACTTGACCGGATGTTTGGGGTTTTCCAATCTTACGTGGCACGCGCCCAAATTTCCTCTGTTATTAGTGGCAATTTGGAAGCTCACTCTGTCGCCTGATCTTAGTACGACATTGCCTTCAACGTCGTCCTTTGTGTAAGGCAAAAAGAAACATTCGCCTCGGTTTTCGTAGCTGATTCGGCCCATCGTATCGCCCCCCGAACCTTCACCTCGAACCTCTGTAGTAACTGTACCTGTCACCCGTTCCTCGCTCATTACCTGTAACAGAATTAATAGATTTTTTTTTTTTTAAATTGGGTTATTTTACCTCAGGAGCGATTTTAGTTACAGCACTGGCTATAGGTTTGCCCGTACGTCTGTCGTAAGTCATTTCAAATTCGACCGGGTCGCCGATTTTCAGGTGCTCAATGTTGCCGCTGAACTGACTGAAATGGAAGAACAGTCGGGCCTGCCTTTCGCAACACTGAATGAAACCGTAGGAGTGCTACACAATACAATTTATTATTTATATGGCAAAACTTAATAACTATTTTTTTACCAGTAGTTTTTCGATTATACCAGTTTCCCTTGTCCCCATATTGGCCGAATTCGACGAGTCGTTGTTGTAGCTAGTGCTGCTACTGTTGTTGCCGTTGGAAAAGATGTTATTGGACGACGACGTGTTCAGGGAACTATCGCCAGAACTGAAAATGTTTTTAAATGAATGAGTATTAATATCTAAGTGAAATTTCTCAAACTTGTAAGGAAAGCAAGATTAAAAGAGCATCTTCCTTGTTGCCCAACGGACAAAGAACTCTTATATCTGCTCATATTAAAAAAATTACCAATTCCCTCTTCTATACCATCTTAGGCTATGGCTTTTTCATTCTGGGATAATTCTTATTCCTCTGTTAAAACATAAGCTGATGTCTTTTTTTTCATCCTCAAATCTAACAAAAACCTGAAGACACTTTGTTGTACTGTAATGTAAAATTTAGACACCCTAAGGACCAGTTTCATAATTGGTGGTAACCTGCACTGGTTATCAAACTAATAGTTGCGGCATGGCTACAAGTTTGCAAAATAAGACTTGAGTTAAATAATCTAAAACCTGACCAATGGCTAAACTACACATTATGCAACAGACATATTGTGGGTTTCCAGTGTCTTATAATTATCGCTGTTTGGGAAACTAGTCTTTAAATATATAAAAATACAAAAAAAAACTACTCTGTCTTAACTTATCCAGGACACTATTAATTCGTCTATATAAAAAAAGAAACAACTCCAGAACTTCTTATTTAAATACAACCTCCAAAATCATTTAAGTATTGTAAAGGCAAGATCTGGTCTTGTTCCAATGATTATAGCCTCTCTATAAGGAAAACGTTGGTTTCTGACTTTTTTTCCCTTTTTTTGAAATATCAGAAATCTTTTCAATTAGGTTTACTGACTGGTTTGCAGCATTCTTGTTTGGAATCTTCAATAAAGGCTTGCAATTCTTGTGAACAGAGAGTAATGAGTAGCCTTTTGTCATTTCTTTATCTCACATACAAGCATTGGTCAGCTTGACTTGGTTTTGAAACCTAATTTTTAAAGAAATTAGTTAATTTTACCGTACCAACCTCATATTAACACATGAAATAGATAGGTTTATTATGATTAAAATATGCCCCAAACATTGACTCCCATTCTAAGATCACTTGCGGACACTTACTGTAGATGTGCCATATTTATAAATTGTCCTAAGTTGCACGGAAAATGGAATTGGAAATTGAAAAAAATAATATCGAAAATATAAAAACCTAAGTAGGTATAAAAAGTGTCAATTTGAAAACTTCCCACCCCTTTTATCTCGGAGTAGAAAAATTTTCAGGGATAATACCACGAAGCTTCAAAATTACCGATAATTTTTCACGATTGCGTGTTTTCTATAATTTCACGAGTCCGTAGGACGAGTGAAATTTGCAGAGAAAACACGCATGAGTGAAAAATTATCTGGTTCATTTTAAAGCTCAAGTGGTATTTAGAGGATTATTTCACGTATAAGAATGCAAAAAATATGGAAATAAATATGTATTGAACGATTTGAACATCTTAACAATCAATACAAATAAATGGTTGCTATCAGGAACCGTTTGTTTGTATCTAAAATTAGCATGACAACCATGTATACAATAACATGGGAGAATTATCGCTGTAATTCTCTCAGGTTAATCAAATGGAAAAGAGAATTTTCGCTGTAATTCTGAGAATCGTCACTGTCTTATGGGATTTCTAACACATGAGTGGAATAATCGAAAAAATCCCTAAAACACGTCAACTATAATTTGAAGGGGGACGAGTTTTCATGCAAAATTCACCTTCCCTCTTTCAACCCCCCAGCCCCCAGAGCCACCCCTTAGAAAATTTTAAATGGGAAGGGGGGTCAAGTGATACATCATTTTGCAGGGTTTTTAATTCCATACATTTTGGTACTAAATTTCAGTCCCTAAGTTCAACTGGTTTGAAAATATTGACAGTTGAAAATTGACTTTTTTGCTACTTTGACAGCCTGTAAAACCTAAACGGTTAATTTTAGAGGAAAACCGATCCTACATTTTTGTCTCAGATTTCCATAAACTATCATTTGATACCATTTTTGAATTTAACTGGAGATTAAATTTTCAACCAAAATTTTTGAGCGTGGATTAAATTCGAAGTTGCTGTCAAATGATAGTTTATAAAAATTTAAGATAAGAATGTAAGATCGGTCTTCCTTTAAAATTAACCGTTTAGGTTTTACAGCCTGGCAAAGTTGCAAAAAAGTCAATTTTCAACTGTCAATATTTCCAAAACAGTTGAACTTAGGGATTAAAATTTTGTACCAAAATGTATGGAATCAAAAACCCTCCAAAATGATGTATCACTTGACCCCTCTTCCCATTTAAAATTTTCTAGGGGGTGGCTCTGGGGGCTGGGGGGTTGAAAAAGGGAAGGTGAATTTTGCATAAAAACTCATCCCCCTTCATATTATAGTTGCCCCATTTGTAACGTTATGTAATTATTTCTGACGTTAACACAATATTTGATGCCTAATACTTGGATTCTCAACACTAAAATAGTGCGTTAATGTCAAAAATAATTACAAAACTAGATCACCGAAATGCAAAAGTAAATAATGGGTCATATTCCTTTTTTTATGCCCATTCCAACGAGCTATCACAATACAAATCTTTACATTTGAAAAAAAAAGTTGGGGGTGGTTTCTACCCTTAAGAGAGGGGTAAATTCCATGAAAAGGCCGAAAAAATGTGCCAAACTAAAAATAAAGGGACCCATTTTTTTTTTATTTTTCCATAAAATAAACAGGCTTTCTGATACTAATTTTATTCCATTTAAAAATTCCACCCTGTATACAATTATAACATAAAATTATCTCGGAATCTGGTTGTATTTGTCTATTGTCTGGCTAGCCAAACGGCGAACTGCAATAGAATTTGCTGCTTTGCTAAACTTGACGAAAACAGTAATGAACAAGTTGGTGACATATTTTTTTTTGCTATATGGTCCTGTGTGGTATTTTGAAATAGAAAAAAATCCGGCAACATTGCGAATTCCCCCTTTCGTCTCTATCAAATTACTACTTGCCAGACTATAGAACGCCCACCTGAATCGTTTTATTTTGGTTAAGAAAACCAGATAAAGAATGATGCAAATATTATCAGCCTGACCATAATCGCGAATGCGCTCTAGCATTCATAGTAAGAAATGTCAAACGGGTTTTGACAGAAGTAACCATTGACAGTTGACTTCAAGAACCGGGAATAGACGAAACTCGAGACGAAAATTGATTGTAAAGTAATCCGGATTATTTGTTGAATTAACAGTCCGTCATCGGCTCTCCTTTTCTAATCAATGAGAGTGACAAGAGACTTTCTGGAAAAATATGCCATCAAGTTGGCCATGGAGTGACATGTGCACAATTATTTGAAAAATACTTTGTTGTACAATTTGACAGAAGTAACCATTGACAGTTAACTTCAAGAGCTGAAAATAGACAAAAATTGATTGAAAAGAAATCATTATTATTTGTTAAATTGACAGTCCGTCATCGGCCCTCCTTTTCTAATCAATGAGAGTGACAAGAGACTTTCTGGAAAAATATGCCATCAAGTTGGCCATGGAGTGACACGTGCACAATTATTTATAAATACTTTGTTGTACAATTTGACAGAAGTAACCATTGACAGCTAACTTCAAGAGCCGAAAATAGACAAAAATTGATTGAAAAGAAATCTTTATTATTTGTTGAATTGACAGTCCGTCATCGGCCCTCCTTTTCTAATCAATGAGAGTGACAAGAGACTTTCTGGAAAAATATGCCATCAAGTTGGCCATGGAGTGACACATGCACAATTATTTGAAAAATACTTTGTTGTACAATTTGACAGAAGTAACCATTGACAGCTAACTTCAAGAGCCGAAAATAGACAAAAATTGATTGAAAAGAAATCTTCATTATTTGTTGAATTGACAGTCCGTCATGGGCCCTCCTTTTCTAAACCAATGACAAGTGACAAGAGACTTTCTGAAAAAATATGCCATCAAGTTAGCCATGGAGTGATACATGCACAATTATTTGACAAATAGTTCGTTGTACAATTTGACAGAAGTGACCATTGACAGCTAACTTCAAGAACCGAAAATAGACAAAAATTGATTGAAAAGAAATCTTTATTATTTGTTGAATTGAGAGACCGTCATCGGCTCTCCTTTTCTAATCAATGAGAGTGACAAGAGATTTTCTGAAAAATTATGCCATCAAGTTAGCCATGGATTCATTTGAAAAATACTTTGTTGAACAATTTGACAAAAGTAACCATTGACAGTTAACTTTAAGAGCCGAAAATAGACAAACATTGATTGAAAAGAAATCTTTATTATTTGGTAAATTGACAGTCCGTCATCGGCCCTCCTTTTCTAATCAATGAGAGTGACAATTGACTTTCCAGAAAAATATGCCATCAAGTTGGCCATGGAGTGACATATGCACAATTATTTGAAAAATACTTTGTTGTACAATTTAACAGAAGTGATCATTGGCAGTTAACTCCAAGAGCCGAGAATAAACAAAAATTGATGGTAAAGTAATCTTTATTATTTGTTGCATTGGCAGTCCGTCATCGGCCTTCCTTTTCTAATCAATGAGTGTGACAAGAGACTTTCTGGAAAAATATGCCATCAAGTTGGCCATGGATTGATACATGCACAATTATTGGACAAATACTTCGTTGTACAATTTGACAGAAGTGACAATTGGCAGTTAAGTTCAAGAGCCAGGAATAAACAAAAATTGATTGTAAAGTACTCTTTATTATTTTTTGAATTAACAGTCCGTCATCGGCCCTCCTTTTCTAATCAATGAGAGTGACAAGAGACTTTCCAGAAAAATATGCCATCAAGTTGGCCATGGAGTGACACATGCAGAATTATTTGAAAAATACTTTGTCGTACAATTTGACAGTTAACTTCAAGAGCCGAAAATAGACAAAAAATGTTTGTAAAGTAATCTTTATTATTTTTTGAATTGACAGTCCGTTATCGGCCCTCCTTTTCTAATCAATAAGTGTGACAAGAAACTTTCTGGAAAAATATGCCATCAAGTTGGCCATGGAGTGACACATGCATAATTACTTGAGAAATACTTCGTTGTACAATTTGACAGAAGTGACAATTGGCAGTTAAGTTCAAGAGCCAGGAATAAACAAAAATTGATTGTAAAGTACTCTTTACTATTTTTTGAATTGACAGTCCGTCATCGGCCCTCCTTTTCTAATCAATGAGAGTGACAAGAGACTTTCCAGAAAAATATGCCATCAAGTTGGCCATGGAGTGACATATGCACAATTATTTGAAAAATACTTTGTCGTACAATTTGACAGTTAACTTCAAGAGCCGAAAATAGACAAAAATTGATTGTAAAGTAATCTTTATTATTTTTTGAATTGACAGTCCGTCATCGGCCCTCCTTTTCTAATTAATAAGAGTGACAAGAGACTTTCCAGAAAAATATGCCATCAAGTTGGCCATGGAGTGACATATGCACAATTATTTGAAAAATACTTTGTCGTACAATTTGACAGGTAACTTCAAGAGCCGAAAATAGACAAAAATTGTTTGTAAAGTAATCTTTATTATTTTTTGAATTGACAGTCCGTCATCGGCCCTCCTTTTCTAATTAATGAGAGTGACAAGAGACTTTCCAGAAAAATATGCCATCAAGTTGGTCATGGAGTGATACATGCACAATTATTTGAAAAATACTTTGTTGTACAATTTTACAAAAATAACCATTGACAGTTAACTTCAAGAGCCGAGAATAGATAAAAATTGATTGTGAAGTAATCTTGATTATTTGTTGAATTGACAGTCCGTCATCGGCCTTCCTTTTCTAATCAATGAGAGTGACAAGAGACTTTGTGAAAAAATATGCCATCAAGTTGGCCATGGATAGATACATGCACGATGATTTGACAATTTGACACATGTTTTGTTTGTAAGTGGTCCGCAATCTTATCCCCACTCCATGTAGTTCATTCTTCATTCATAAATCCACAATCCACTATTGTCGTTTACGATTGTTGACCGCAAAAACCCAGCAATTTTATGAATGATTTGCCCTCTCTATGTAGTGTTACTCTGAGGTACCAACAATGTGGAGCTTATTTCGAACCATATAAGGTTTTCTTCAATTTACAAACTTCGTCATTTCCATCTGGTTGTTCTGGATCTTCTTTAGATAGTGTATAAACATGCCTGGGCCCATAACCTCATAGACAAAATAATTATGAGGATACAAGTGACGTTTATTGTAATATTTATTACAAAACTATCAAACTTAAACTGAAATCTTTCATATTCACAGATCAACATCAGGTAAACCTTAGAGGTGTAAAAAACTAACCAATACAATGACTATTTTATAATCAACAATTTATAAGGCAATGTTGCCAAGTATAGTTATTGCATTCCCGCGGTTACTAATCAGTTAAAAATTAATCCTAAGGACCGGTTTATCAGTGGGCGACTATCTAGTTTAGCTGTCGGTTAACCAATGATAATTATTAGTTAACCAACAGCTAAACTACATAACCGTCCACTGATAAACCAGTCTTAAGACCAGAATAAAAGCTTGCTTAATATAGGGTCTTACAAATTCGTAAGTATATGGGGATCTCGATAACCATAAAGGATACAGGTATTTTCTGGCATTATCACTTTTATGAAGCTCTAAAAACCTGTATTATGAAGCTCTAAAAAACCTGTATTATGAAGCTCTAAAAAACCTGTATTGGAGAATATTTTCAGGTTTATAGTTTCTGAGAAAGTTTATTTTAAGATTTTGATTAAATTCGACTAAAATTCAACTTTGAGGTTCAATTGCTAAAAAAGTATATGAGCTATCAAACTCAATTTAGCATATATTTGTAGAGAATTTGATGCTCTTTCTAATAAAGTATCACTTATTTTGATTTGTTCAAATTTCAATGGAAAAATTGGCAATTTTTCTTAATTTTCTTATGATTCTAAGCTTCTCCAGTTGAATTTCTGGCTCAATTTCAACTCTAGAATATAATCAGAAATAGGATTTGTATGTTTCTCTAGGACGATTTTCATGCATCCAAGTTTCTTTTGGTGAATTTCAGCTCTCTATGTTCAACAATGTCCTTTGACCATTGATTCTTTTGCATTTCTGAGAATTCAAACTTCAGCTCTATAATGGAGTAGACTTTAGTACTTCTGTTGTTGAATTTCAGTTCTACAGCCCTCAAGCTCAATTTTAACTCTAGAATGATCAGTCATTGGGGTTTTTTCAATTTTGGCTCAAAAAGGGCTGAAAATAGGACTTTTATACAGCTGTAAAGTCCAAATTCTAAGATTTTTAAGCCTCTCTTGCAAAGTTTCAGGGCCGGGAATAGGATTTTGATGCATTTTTAATTTAAATCTTAGCTCCTACAATCTGTGTTAATATGTCATTGTGGATACCTACCTGTTGCACATGCGCACCATATTTCAACTGCATTTAAAAACTGGCTATGGTAAAGTAATGCTTATGAAGTGTTTCTGCACAGACGCATTAAAAAAAATCTTCATGTACCTAAACAAACTGTGTGCAAACCAAAATTCCCTTATTTTAGGTGCACAGAATTTTGTTTTTCTACTACCGTGCGTAAAGTAAACACTTTACGCACTATTCAGAAGACGTAAAATATCTCTTCACGTACTAGTGCGTGAAGTAGTTCACTTCACACACTAGTGCGTAAAGTAATGTCAATGACAGATGTCGACTTGTCAAATTACTATTTTTCTGGTAAATTACTTCACGCACTAGTGCGTAAAGTGAAAATACTTTACGCACCAGTGCGTGAAGAATTTGTCTAAATTTATTTTTTCATGCATATTTGATTGGTAGTAGAAAAAATTTTGTATGCAATACGTGCGTAAAGCACCTTTTTTCACTCATGTGATTGTCGCACTCGCCTCGTGAAAAATGGTTCACTTTACACACTTGTTGCATAAATAACTATTTTATCATTTTTATAATGGTATAATGAAAAATATCAATCATCACCATGATTCTAGTAACGCAAAACTTATTGAATTGGTATCATAATATAGGTACTATTCAATTCAAATAGTAGATTTTCTTTCCTCTAATTTATACCAATTAAACTACAATCAACAACTCACTTTACCTATTAAAAACATTGTTACTGTCCAAAGAAAACGTTCCAATTGGCGGAAAATTCCTGGCGCTAGCATTGGTGGCGCTGGCCGAACCATATAGTCCGTTGCTGTAGGGCATCTGGCTGGCGCTGGGCTTTTCCGTGCCCAGCAACGGAAAATCCTGACTGAAACGCGAGTTCGAGCCGGTTCTGTTATAGTTGAATGGACCTGGAGACGGTTTACCTATTGAAGAGTAACATCTCTTATACAAGGCTGATTCAGTTTAAAATTACAAATCACAACACATTCAATAGAAATGAATCACCCTTTATAAGTAAAACATTGATAAACTTACCGTTACTCGCCATAGATTTAAAATCTATGATGGGGTCCTGGTTCAAAGAGTCGGGAGGCGGCTGGAACGTTTTCCACTGAGGATTGTTCGACATATTATTCATTCAGTGGCTGTTTATATATGTATTGTTTATTAAAAAAAAATGTTTGTTTCTTCTTTTTTGTTTGTGTTTTAAAACTTGTTCACTTCTTATCGTTTCTTAAGTGTAGTGAATATCACAGAATGGTTAATAATAACAAATATATAATATGGGTATTTTCTTTTTTTTTTTATCGCAAATACCACACACACTATATTACAGGGGGGGATGGTTTTGGTATGCAAATGTCAGTTGATTGAGAAACGGCGCTGCGGCAAAATGAAAATCACTTTGATTCAAAAATAAAAAATAATCACAATGTCCACAATGTTCTTTTTTTCTTCTTTCTATTAAAATTCCATTGTTTTCTTTTGAAATAAAAAAAAGTCAGTAACTAAGAAAAGGGCCCGGTAGTCACTCGATTGTAATTTTTTTCTTTTTATGGGAGAGTAAGAGAGATAGGTGATATGATAACTAAAAAAAAATCCTCAGATGTCTTCAATGCGTGCTGGGTGCGTATTGTGCTGTAATGCTCCAGAGATTTTTGTCCATAAGGCCAGTCGTTGACACGGGTGAGTAGAACGCAGGTTACTTTTTTTGAATTTGCTACACTAAATTTTGAGGTTCTTAGTTACACAAGCTGAAAAGAAAAAAATTACTATTATTGACTTATAAAAATCAGTCTTATTTTAATCTCTCTACTATAACAACCCAAAAGCAAACTTTACCCATAACGTTATGTTATGACGATCGCTTACAAAGCTAATAAATAAAAACAATGGTTCTTTTATAAAAATAGACAGGACTATAAATAGACAAAACCACATGCATTTAAGCCATTTAAACGGAATATTGTTTATCTCTCTGGCTCTTGAATTTTAATTTAATAGGAACCCAGCTGCCTGCATGTAATAAAAAGGGGTCCCTCGCTACGCTTTTAAATTATGCAGTTTCAATGCAAACTAAAATAATGTATGCACCAGTTGAAGTTGAGTAAGGTACTGGTTAGGATTTCTCTCAAGGATATTTGAGATGATGAGGTTCCAAAACAAACAATATACATTTATTTGTGTTTGTAAATTAGAATTAACATACATTTGTGATAAAGTTAAGGCATTTTTTGAGATAAAAACTCGGATAAAAATCAACATAACAGTTTTGCTGAATGAATCTAGATCTGATAAAATTCAACAAAAATACATCAAATCATTGAAAAACTATGAAATCGAAATTCCAACGTCCATAATCCTCAACAATTTGATTCACATAAGGTGTATATCATTAGAGAAAAAATCATATTAACTTTTTTCCAATTAGCTTCTTGTATTATCAACTAAAACGAATGGAGAAAAGTAGGGCACCGCACATCCTGCAAAATTATCGCGGTTCCAGTGTTATCCAGTTCAATGTCAACAATAATAATTTTATTGTGAACACAAAAACATGAGCAAAATTTCTATTTGAAATATTTTAGGCTTTCTTCCTCATTTTTTTGTCTATTCCAGGCTCTTGAATTTTTTAAATTTCAAATTCATAAGTTTTCCTAATTTTTCTATTCCAGGTTCTGGAATTTGCTTTTTTTTTATTTAGAGAAGAAACCATGAAGAAGATTCAAGGACCTGAAATAAACAAAAATTGAAAAGGAAAAAATGATAATCGAGAGTTGTAGAGGATTTATCTGCCTTTAATAATGTAGATACCTTCTTACTAAATGGATGAAATTTATTTATTTTTTTGTTGAGATTTTGTGTCCTAATGGTCATTTGGGATCCCCCTAACTCCATACACTAAATTATTCTCAGATTTGAAGCTGAAATCTATGAAAAAAGGCACTCAGAAAAATTGAAAAACTGATAAATCACCCCAAATTGCTTAACACGATTTTATCTCAGGAACTATAAGTCCAGGTGAGTTGAAATTCTCAGGGATTATAGTCCTCTATTGGAATAAGAATCGCTGGGAATTTCAGCTTTATAACTTTAATAGAAAAAAAGTTATGACCTTTCAAAGTTTTCCAAAATCTAAATCATAAGGTACTTAGGTACCTTCTTACGAAATGGATGAAATTTCAATTTTTTTTTTGTTGAGATTTTGTGTCCTAATGGTCATTTGATATCCTCCAAATTTCATATACTAAATTATCCCCAGATTTGAAGCAGAAATCTATGAAAAAAGGCACTTAGAAAAATTGAAAAACTGATAAATCACCCCAAATTGCTTAACACGATTTTATCTCAGGAACTTTAAGTCCAAATGAGTTGAAATTTTCAGGGATTGTAGTCCTCTACTGGAATAAGAATCGCTGGAAATTTCAGCTTTATAACTTCAATAGAAAAAAAGTTGTGACCTTCCAAAGTTTTCCAAAATCTAAATCACAAGGTAAGTAAGTAAAGTTTGTTTCGCCAGGGTTTGTACTTGCCACCAGCATTTGCCTTCCTTGTTTAACAAATAAAAATTGACTGAAACAAATCAATGACGTCAAAAACGTTCGTCGGTTCTTAAATCAAAAGTCATCCATTTTAATTTGTCAAAAAAATTGAATGTGTCATAGGAATTAATCTACGACAACCCTTTTTTTTCAAGTTTCAAGGTCAAGTATGAACCCTGGTGAAACGGACCTTACCTTCTTACTAAATGGATGAAATTTCATTTTTTTTTGTTGAGATTTTGTGTCCTAATGGTCATTTGGGATCCCCCAAACTCCATACACTAAATTATTTTCAGATTTGAAGCCAAAATCTATTAAAAAAGACACTCAGAAAAATTGAAAAATTGATAAATCACCCCAAATTGCTTAACACGAGGCTTAACACGATTTTATCTCAGGAACTATAAGTCCAAATGAGTTGAAATTTCCAGGGATTGTAGTCCTCTACTGGAATAAGAATCGCTGAAAATTTCAGCTTTATAACTTCAATAGAAAAAAAGTTATGACCTTCCAAAATATAAATCATAAGGTAGGTACCTTCTTACTAAATGGATGAAATTTCAAATTTTTTTTATTGAGATTTTGTGTCTTAATGGTCATTTGGGATCCCCCAAACTCCATTCGATTGCAAATAGATAGAGAAAAAGTTGATAATTTAGGGAAAAAAGAAAATCTCCTTCTCCTCAAGTCACTCATTTTGATAAAAATCAGGACTTTCAACTTTTGAGGGACTTTTGCAGTTGCAAAACTATTGGCGCTGCATTGAAACTCTTGTTTCTTTATTCCAAGATCTTGAAATTTTCATTCTTTCTATTTTGAGAAGAAAATTCAAGAAACTGGAATAAACAAAAAACAAATGAGAATTAAAGTATAGTGAGAATCTACTCAGCTCAGAATCAATTATTTTAATATCTCAAAACTGACCCTGGTACCAGAAAATACATCATTTTGTTATAATTGTATGTAATCTAGATTCCTTCTGAATAGAGCTGGTCAAAATTACCCAGGAAGAAGTCCTATATTTATTATCCAGAAATTGTTTCAATTTTTAATAAGTGAAACTAGGAAAACTCCTCTTTCCCTCAGAGAGCTTCCAAAGCAAGGGGCAAACCACCTAGGAATTCTTTGCCAAAAATGTGGGAAATTTAGAGGAATTTGTGGAGAGTTTGAAGGAACTCATCGAAATTTATGAGAATTTGGGAAATTTATAGGGAATTCGGAGAAATTTATGGGGAATTTGTGAGGAATTTATAAGGAATTTAAAGGAAATTGTAGAGTCACTGAGGTTCACATTCTTATTATAAGAAACACTAATAAATGGAAATTTTTAAAAAAATCTAGCTTTGTGTTGAACGTGGACATTCATTTTCATTACAGAAATTCTCCCAAAATTTCACTTCAAGATTTACAGGTCCAAATTTAAAAAATTCAAAACAATAATGAATACAGTTTTTGTAGGCAGATTTCCAAAATTCTTCATGTTATTATTTTCCACTGGAAAAATTTGAAATTTTGGGAAAATGAACTTCTAACCTTCCTCTTCACATGTAAAAAGTTTCAAATTTTTCCGTTCACTAGTTTTCCAGGAAAACTTTGAAATATGTGAAACGATATTTTCAACTAATTCAGTTTTTGTAAGTAGATTTCCAAGATTCTTTATGTTATTTTCCACTGGAAAAATTTGAAATTTTGGGAAAATGAGCTTCTCACCTTCCTCTCCACATGCAGAAAGTTTCAAATTTTTCCGTTCACTAGTTTTCCAAGAAAACTTTGAAATGTGTGAGACGGTATTTTCAACTAATTCAGTTTTTTGTAAGTTGATTTCCAAGATTCTTCATGTTATTTTCCAATGGAAAAATATGAAATTTTGGGAAAATGAGCTTCTCACCTTCCTCTTCACATGCAAAAAGTTTCAAAATTTTCCCATTACTAGTTTTCCAGTAAAACTTAGAAATGTGTGAGACTGTATTTTTAATTAATTCAGTTACTGTAGGTTGATTTCCAATATTCCTCATGTTGTTATTTTCTACTGGAAAAATTTGAAATTTTAAGAAAATGAGCCTTAAACCTTTCTACTCTTCACATGCAAAAAGTTTCAAATTTTTGTCTCCATTAGTTTTCCAGGAAAACTTTGAAATATGTGAGAGTGTATTTTCCGAGGTATTTTCAAATAATTCAGTTATTGGAGACTGATTTCCAAGATTCTTCATGTTGTTATTTTCCATTGGAAAAATTTGAAATTTTGGGAAAATTAGTCTCTGACATTCCTCTTTACATGCAAAAAGTTTCAAAAATTTTCCCTTTTTGCAGGAAAATTTTTAATTGTGTGAGACTGTATTAACAATTATTTCAATTTTTGTAAGTTGATTTCCAGGATTTTTCATGTTGTTATTTTCCACTGGAAAAATTTGAAATTTCGGGAAAATGAACCTCTGAACTTCCTCTTCACATGTAATGTTTCAAAATTTTTCCTTAATTAGTTTTTTAGGAAAACTTTGAATTGTGTGAGACTGTATTAACAATTATTTCAGTTTTTCACAGGTTGATTTCCAAGATTCTTCATGTTGTTATTTTCCAATGGAAAAATTTGAAATTTTGGGAAAATGAGCTTCTCACCTTTTTCTTTATATGCAAGAAGTTTCAAAATTTTCCCTTCACTAGTTTTCCAGGAAAACTTTGAAATGTGTGAGACTGTATTTTCAACTAAATAATTCAGTTTTTGTATGCTGATTTCCAAAATTCTTCATGTTGCTGTTTTCCATTGGAAAATTTTGAAATTTTGGCAAAATGAGCTTCTCATCTTCCTCTTTACATGCAAAAAGTTTCAAAATTTTCCCTTCACTAGTTTTCCAGGAAAACTTTGAATAATTGTGTGAGACAGTATTTTTTATTAATTCAGTTATTGTGGGTTGATTTCCAAGATTCCTAACGTAACCTTGCATTGGATCCTACTCTCGATCCTACTTGATAAACTGCGAAATAAAAATAGAAAAAATAAATTTCTTATCACGAGCAATTATGGGGATTTTTAGGGAATTTCTGAGAGATTTGTAGGAAATTTAAGCGGAGTTTGGAGGAATTTGCGGGAATTTGGAGGAATATGCAGGGAATTTAGAGGAATTTGTGGGGTATTTGGAGAAATTTGTGATGGGGTATCTGGAGGAATTTGTGGGGAATTTGAAGGAATTTGTAGGAATTTTGAGGAATTGTTTGCACAAATTCTGGGATGGTGGTTTACCCCTTGTTCTAAAGTGAGATTCCAAAATGTCCATAATAATAATAAGTGCTCTATTTTCTTCTAGAAGCTGTTTGAAGCAATTCTGAGAGAATCTGAAACGGCTTTTTTATATTTTTGAGCTCATTCAGTTATTCAAATTGTCCAGAGTGAGATTTTAAATCTAAAGAACTTTCCATATTGAACCGCGGTACAAAAATGTGTACACTGATTTCAGAACAGAGAGAGCGAGGGGTTTTTCACCTAACAAAATTTGTACACCGATTAACAGTACTAACTGAGATATTTCCATGTATTAACAGATATTTCTATGTACCTAATAACAAGTTATTGCCAACTATTTCCATGTATTAACAAAATATTTCCACATATTGCCAGGTATTTTCCTAGTATTATTACATATTACCAGGTATTATTGCGATGCTATCGACAGACTAAAATCAAATATTTGTTTTGCCGGAATTCTAGGTATTGACATATCCACAAGTATTTACATGTTATTAATGGGTATCAACCAATGACCTTAACATATATTAGATATCTACAAGTATTGACATATATTACCTACATAATTAAGAAATAGGTATTGCATAGTATTGACACTATTGACATAATATTTACCTGGTATTGACATATATTAACCAGTGATTTGTACACCGATTAACAAGGTGAAAAACCCCTCGAGAGAGAGAGATTTCACAGATTTCATAAAAATTAAAATGATTATATTGTCGGCATCATATGAAAATTGCCTTAATCCAAAAAGGTAAATTTTACAGGAGGCGCAAAAAACCTTTGTAAAGAAAAACTACATGATACAAATCACCAGCAAGAATGCATAGAAGAGATTGGACTTATGCAAGTTTCACTCTGTCTTGAGACAACGACGGACTTGTGCAAATTTCTTTTCATGGTTGTGTGGCTCCGTCTAACAATTTATCGCCCAAATATTTTGTTGGATCATAGATTATTGAGTTTCTCACAAGATTGCACTAAAATCTTAATTTTGAAAAAAATTGGACTTAGGCAATTTTCATATGATGCCGACGATATGGAGGATTACAAAGGGACTGCAAGGATTTCAAGGGGATTGCAAATATTACATGGATTACAGAAATAATACATTGGATTGGAATACACATACATATTACAAAAAAAAAAAATGCTGGAATTGCAAAGAAGGGTAAAATAAAAAAATCTCGAAAAAAATACTCAAGTTATATGTCGAGTTATATGTATTATGACAAATTAACAACTAAAAAGGAATACAATGTTTGAGACTTTATGACGCTCTAACTGGAAATAATACCTATGGTTTATTTTTTTCCAAGATAGATTCTGGCATTGTCAACTTTGGAACATAAACAATGCTGCTAATGCTGTTTATTGGTCGCTATTGTAAAACTGATGTCAACCTGCAGAAACACCTCATTTTGCAACCAATCAGGGTCAAGCATTATTGTTTATGTTTCAAAGTTTTCAATGTCAAAATTTATCTTGGGAAAAAATAGACTGTAGAAATCGATACAAATGCATAGAAAACATAAAGAAAAAACTGAGGAAAAAACCTCACATTTGGACTTGTAGCATCACAAATCAAACAAACAAAATCCTACAAATAAGAATGTCTCGAAGAATGTCTTTAATGATTAAAAAAGATATGCCAAAAACTTGCCAAACAAATTCATCAATATCCAATTTATAATAATAATTATTGCAATCTCTTCAACAATAGTTTTTACTCCTAATCCTAGCCTGGCTACCAACCACTTACTGATAATAATTGTTTATTTATACAATACGAATATGCAAGCAAGCAATAATATTTGATTATTATTCACATTAACTTTATTTTCCAGAGAGCTAGGTTAAGGTTTTGATTTACATATGAGCCAATTTAAAAGTGTATTTGTTTCCAATTTGAGCTCTAGGATTTTATATACAGGGTGTTAATAAATAGTGGGATCAAACTTCTAGGATAAATAGTACTCATTAAAATAAGAAAAAAATTGATAGAAACATGGGTCCGCGAATGCTTAAGTTTTTAAGATACAGGGTGAGGGTGTCAAAGTTTTTTAAAAAAAATCGGTTTTTTAGCTCAAAAATCCCTTTTCCAATTTTCTTTTTCAAATTTGGCAAATTTGTTTGTGATATCAAAAGGTATCTTTTGAGTTTTGACTGTAATATGACAATCTGCGAAAATATCAAAGTTATAAAAAAATAGTGACATGCCATTTTTTTCTCCTCTTACCAACGTAGTTGTCCTCTGGGGCGCCCCTGGAATAATTACGATCTAATTAAATCATCAGATACCTTTTGTTATTATTACAAACAAATCTGTCAAGTTTGAAGAAATTCAGGAAGCGGATTTTAAAAAAACGATTTTTTCAAACTTTGACACCCTGTATCTCGAAAACTAAGCATTTTCGGACCTATGTTTCTATTAAATTTTTTCTTATTTTAATGAGTACTATTTATTCTAGAAGTTTGATCCCACTATTTATTAACACCCTGTAGATAATATGAATATTCTCTCAATCAACACAAGGAGTTTCTTAGCCTAAATTCAAAATACAAAAAATATTTTTGACATTTTTCTTTGTACAGAGAGGAATATTTAACTCTAAAAAGTTTTTCTATTGTATTAGTTACTTGCGTCCAATGAATGATGTGGGTACTTATGTATTACCCAAAAAAGAAAAACCTGTTTTTTTTTTCTAATCAATTTTTCTATAAAATGTAGGTCAATATTAAATAGGGCTAAAGAATAGGGAGAAAAAAAATTCCCAGCCAGAGACCAGTTGAAATATTTCCACAGTTTTCCCCGGAGAACACACATTTGGGCCAAGGGTCGAATTATCGATTTTACACAGAAAGGAAAAAAATCCTGGATACAAGATTTCCAGACAACAATTTCGGCAATCCAATCCCGAATTCCAATACATCAAGTATTTTTACCTTACAAAGTCCAAAGCAACGGGGCACTAAAATCAACTTCATACAGAAACAAAAATTTAGAAAACGAGGGTAGAAGGTTGCCTTTGCGACGCAATTTAAACCCTTAATACTAGGCCCGACTTTATAAATTTGGGCTTAATTATTAGCTAAAACTAATAAGATTAATTTTACGTACTTGTTGAGGCTGAGTAGATGGAAATTTTGGATAAATTTATGAAAATTTCAACTCACCACGACACAGCACAGCACTGACGACATGCCGCCATGTTGAATGTCAACACACAAATCGGCCATTCGGCCGAACGTCAACATGCCATGCGCTTCCAAAACCCCCCCATGATTGGTCCAATTAAAAATAGTAGTCTAGAATATATTTGTCCTTGTTTTTTTATTGCGATTAAATAAGGACACAAGATTTTTTTCAATGACAATTAAATATGACAGCAACAAAAGTCAAAAAGTTGTTTATTTATTATTGGAATAATAAATAATAATTATTTAATGTTTTTTTAAAAGAAAATGATACTTGGGATTGGAGATTGGACTTGAGTTGTTAAGTTTTCAAATTTTTATCATTGAGCTTCAGTAATCATGGAGGCGATTTTTCACGAAAAAGTAAGTTGTTTTTTCTTTTAATTTTATCAATTGAACACCAAATTTGGGCCTGAAAATGAGTTCCTTTTGTTAACTTCAATATGAGCAAATTCGTAAAAAATTAAAGATATTATTTGGACAAGTTCCAGGAGTTGGAAAGCTCCAGAGATCCCCTTGTTTTTACATTAATAATTCAGGGTTCAAGGGCAGTTTAAAAGAGGGGTAGAGGGGGTAATTACCCCCCCCCCCCCCCAGACAATGATCTTTTTCTATTCATTTATTAATTATTATAACAAAAGTTCAAAAAAGTTCTACAAAGTAAAGCATCAAAGAAATCGTATAAATATGTAAGGCTCACCAGTACTGACGTACCTACTACTATACAGTGAGATAAAGGGTATTCCATTTGAAAAAAATTAGCTATGGTCGTTTGGTTTGAAATGTCTGGTTTTGTGTACAGTATTGCGAACACCCTGTAGAATGTTATCAGATTTTCATAGGACCATAAAGGAAATGTAAGTATGCACTAACAACCTGCAAAAGCTTTAGCTTATAGGATCTCCTATGAATGAAAATGTTGGTTTTTGTTGACACATGCAAATTGCAATTTTTCGAAAAAATATTAAATATTTCGAAAAAGGTTGAATTTTGGTATAGATGATTCCTAACAAAAAGTATGTAGGATTTTTAGAACGATGCATTAATGTACTAAAATATAGGGTCTTCCCGAGGGGCGTACCACCTAGGAAATCACTGTACACTTTGCCTTAGAAATACGTGGGTAATACCTAGTAATACTAGCAATAATTGAAAAATGTGGTAATATCTCAGGAAATACCTGGTAATACATCGGAAGTACTGGTAATACTCCAGAAATACCTGAGTAATTCTTTGGAAATACTCAGTAATATAGGTCTGTAAACCTAGCAGTCCCAAGGTGGAAAAAAACTTCGGGAACTATATAATAATTAGGTGCTTTTTAGGTGCTAATTAGGGCCTCTAATTAAAAATTAAGTGCTCCTTTAGTTTTTGAGAAATAAAAATAAAAAAAAAACTAAGGGACTGCTAGGTTTATAAAAGCTAGCAGTCCCCTATAGTAAAAAATATTTTTTTCAAATTTCTTCTTTGTATCAGAATTAGGTGCTCCTAAATAGTCCAAGAAAAAATAGAATTGATTAATTATTACCTAACTGAGTTACAGTTTTTTTTAATTATTAGGGGACGGCTGGCTTTACGTTTACATGTTGGTGTGTCAGAATGGCAAAAAAACTTCGGGATCTATGTAATAATTAGGTGCTTTTTAGGTGCTAATTAGGGCCTCTAATTAGAAATTAGGTGCTCCTCGAGTTTTTGAGAAAATCAAAAAAAAACTAAGGGATTGCTAGGTTTATGAAAGCTAGTAAGGTAAAGTACCCAATTGTTGACAGGTTCCCAAAAATTGACTCATTAGCATATTATTCCCGAAAATAAGAATTTATAGAGGTTATAAGCTAACTGGAATAGCTTATAGTATTGTTGGATCCATATTGCGTGTTATAGCTGATGCATGGATTTGAAATCACAAGTTTTTTTCAAAATGGTGGCAAGAAGTAGTAAACAGGGCTGCATTCAGATTGAACGTCGGTTGTCGCCCGAGCGCGCTCTGACCGTTCAGATTGCCTTGGGTAAAATTTACCCAGCCGTTCAGATTGTCAGGTAGATTTTTACCTGACGACGCCCAGAGGCACACTTTTGCATCCCATAAAATAGTAAGATAAAATTTGCCCCGCATGCGCGTTTGTGTTATGTTTATGTTCTAACCAATAATAAAGGCAAATATTGTAAATATTATTGTTGGGAGTTATGGCGAGTTTATCCAACAAATAAAATAAAATAGGAAATAAATTAAAATAAGAATTAAGGGTTAAGAGGTATTATTTTATATGTGATAGTTCTACCAAAAAAAATCAAAATAAAATAAAATAAGAGTTGATTATCTTTGAATTTTCTTTTTTCTTATTTTACAAAAATGTTAGAATCACGAACACACAGTGAATTTTGAAAACGCAACAAAATCAAAATCAAAGCATCCCATAAATAGTGCTGTTATGAGGAGAGAATGCGTCTTGGCCGTTCAGATTGGGCCAATCGCCAGGCACACTCGGAGTGCACTCTCTATCGGGTACGCTAGGTGCAATTGTTTGAACTTTTTTCCAGATTTCTAGTGAAAGTAGTTAAGAAAATATAAAAACAAAATTTCTCAAAGCTAAGGTAGGGTTCATAATTTATGAATAATATATATTTACTGTATAAGAAGATACATTATAATACATATTTATAATTGTTTTATCTCTTAAATAACGGGCATAAACTTTTTAAGGGGGGGTGTCAACTATTGGAGCCCAAATCGAGGGGTGATCCAAATGTTGACACTAGTGTCAACTTATGGATTTTTGGCGGTAAAAATATTTTGACATTGTAGTCTGTCTCTTTTTATTGCTCTGGATTAAAAAGAAACCTAGATATGGGTTTGGGGAATGTAACGGTCATAGATCCAATAGATGACACCCCTGTTACCCCTGTCAATGTTTGGAGCTTTAGAGTGTCAACAATTGGTCCTTTCAGGTTTGAATCAAGAGATGGCTTATGAAAAATGGAAATTGCTGAAATATGCACCAGAACTACCAGAAGACATGATTGCTGCGTTGGATGATTGCGATAGGGGGCTTACTGTAGCTACATCAGCAAAAAAACACAATGTACCAATGCTTTCCAAGCAATTTCTTTTACTACGAATTTGGAATTGAAATTTGTATTTTTTTCACAACAAAAAGTTTTCCAAAGTTATTTTTGATTAATAAAAAATTTGATTCTTATTTTATTGATGTTTCTAGCAGGGTTTCTTCTGATACAGGCAACATGTCAACTATTGGTTTCTAGAGTGTCAAGTAATGGAACCACAACATATATTTTTAAAAAATTAAAATTATTGGTTATTATGTGCATATATTCCCCTAGAAAAATATACTTCTTAGTTCCACAGACCGTGATAAAATTTGGTTTGGTAAAAAAATAGATGTCAACCTTTGGACCAAAAATGTGTCAACTTTTGGCGAAGTGAACTTTTTTGGGTGTCGACTATTGGGGTTTTATCACTTTTCAGGTATTTTTGGCATAATAACACAAATAATAGGAATATAGGGTAAATAATATATCTAAACATTTAATTATGAGTTTGAAATCACGCCAAAAAATATATCAAAGCCTTGGGTTTGAAAATTTGGAAAATTAGTGGTGATCATAAGCAAGAGTACCCTTAACATGTCAACAACTGGGTACTTTACCTCAGTCCCCTATAGTGAAAAATATTTTTCCAAAAGTTTCTTTTGTATCAGAATTAGGTGCTTTTTAGGTGCTCCTAAATAATTAAAGAAAAAATAGAGGTTACAGATTTTTTTTTAATTAGTAGGGGACTGCTAGTTTCCATTAACCTAGCAGTCCTTTTGTTTTTTTTTGTTTTTTTTGATTATCTCAAAAACTAAAGGAGCACCTAATTTTTAATAAGTAGCCCTAATTAGCACCTAAAAAGCCCCTAATTATTATTATTATGTAGACCCCGAAATTTTTTTTTTATTCTGACACATCACCAAGTAAAAGTGAAGCCAACAATTTCCTAATAATGAGAAAAAAAAAATTCTACTATAGGGGACTGCTAGCATTCATAAACCTAGCAGTCCCTTAGTTTTTCTTGATTTCCTCAAAAAATTAAGGAGCACCTAATTTTCAATTAAAGGCCCTAATTAGCACCTAAAAAGCACCTAATTATTATATAGATTCCGAAGTTTTTTTCCATTCTGACACACCAACAAGTATACTTAAAGCTTGTAGTCCCCTAATAATTAAAAAAAAATCTGTAACTCAGTTAATAATTAATCAATTCTATTTTTCCTTCGACTATTTAGGAGCACCTAAAAAGCACCTAATTCTGATACAAAAGAAATTTTTGGAAAAATATTTTTCATTATAGGGGACTACTAGCTTCCATAAACCTAGCAATCCCTTAGTTTTTTTTTATTTTCTCAAAAACTAGAGGAGCATTTAATTTTTAATTAGAGGCCCTAATAAGCACCTAAAAAGCACTTAATTATTATATAGATCCCGAAGTTTTTTTGCCATTCTGACACACCAACATGTAAATGTAAAGTCAGCAGTCCCCTAATTAAAAAAAAATCTGTAACTCAGTTAATAATTAATCAATTCTATTTTTTCTTCGACTATTTAGGAGCACTTAAAAAGCACCTAATTCTGATACAAAAAAAAATTTTGGAAAAATATTTTTCACTATAGGGAACTACTAGCTTTCATAAACCTAGCAATCTCTTGTTTTTTTTTTTGATTTTCTCAAAAACTAGAGGAGCACCTAATTTTTAATTGGAGGCCCTAATTAGCACCTAAATTGAGACAATCAATAGAAAATTATTAATCAAAACGTTACACAAATATGGTTTCAAAGGAAGTGTGTTAAATTGGTTCTCACAATACCTGGAAACAAGGACACAAAAGACAAAATATAATGAACATTATTCTTCAGTTAAAGTAAATGACCACAGTTGTTCCTCAGGGAACCGTATTGGGCCAGGAACTGTTTGTGCTCTATATTAATGATATTATCAAGAAATGCAAAATACAGTTGTTTGCAGGTGACACTAGACTTTTTGTGGAGGGTGATACAGTACAGGACATTGTAAACTTGTTGAATGAAGATTTAGAAAGTATATATAGGTAGTTGTGCAATAACAGTTTAAGGCTTAACTTAAATAAAACAAAATGCATAGTATTAAAATCAAAAAATATAATGTAATTGATATTTGCAATCATGATGGTGTAATAATTGATCGAACAGGTGAATGAATGTAAATATTAAGTAATAATTATAGACGAAAGACTTACATTTTCTAGTCATGCAACTTTTATAACAAAAAAGGTATCCAGAAAAATTAATTTATTATGTAGAATAGGAAAAGATCTAAGTTCTTGGACAAAATTACTTACATATTTACGAAACAATAGTACTCCTTTTAATTATTATTCCACCATATTATACATGTTTAATTCAGAAAAAGCAAAATCAGGCATTGAGATGTATATTGGGATTTACTAGGTGTAGCAGAATACAAGACGTTAGATGCTACAAATTTGTTGGGTGTAAAACAAAATGTATTTTTCAATACAAGGGTAAATTCATTTTTTGCTCAGAATAGTTTATTTTACAATTGATTTCAATTATATTCCAATAGAAATAAAAAATTCAAATTTGAATAACTTGACAAGACTGTTAAGAAGATATATAGTAGAGAAACTGTATCAATCTTGGCTCAATGTAATATTTGGCAAATTTTCAATGTTTGATAATTTTAATTTTGAAGCTTCTCAGCTGCAAAACTGTTGGAACCAAATTGAAATCCTAATCAACAGGTTTGTACAAAATTTAATTGACTTTGATTAGACCTTAATTACATTGGAATCGGATGAAAATTAACGGAGCTTTGAGGCAAAAACTGTCTCAGTGTCATTTTTGGAAAATTTTCAATACTTGATAAATTCAATTTTGAAGCTTCTCAGGTGTAAAACTGTTAGAACCAAATTAAAATCCTAATTAACAGGTTTGTAGAGAATTTATTTGACTCCAATTAGAGCCTAATAACATTGAAATCGGATGGAAATTAACGGGAGCTGTGACAGGAAAACTGTCTCAGTGTCATTTTTGGAAACTTTCCAATTTTCGAAAAATTCAATTTTAAAGCTTCTCAGGTGAAAAACTGTTGAAATAAAATTGGAATCCTAATTAACAGGTTTGTAGGGAAATTATTTGACTTCAATAGAGCTTAATTACATTGAAATCGGATGGAAATTAACAGTGTTGTGAACCATTTTGTGGAAAATTTTCAATTTTTGATAAATTATTTACGTATACAGGGTGATTTACGTAGCCAGTTCATCAGAAATTTCCCAGTCTGCAGGTGGATTAGCAGAAATAGCATCTAATCCACCTGCACGCTAATGCAGGTGGAAAATCACCCTGTATAGGTAGTTGAATTATTGAAGAAATTATAATTTTTCCCCATTTCATAACAAAATGGGACACATTACAGCATATCAAAATTAGTAGGTAGCTATCTTTATGCCAAGCGCCTTTTAAGCAGTTTTCAGTTAGCTTTTACACACAAATCCACTAAGGAAAATCAATTCTAAAACATGGGTTAGGGACATACAAATCTGAAAATTTTAAACCCTCCCAAGAAAGGCAATTTCTCAAACTTCATGACTTATTGCTAGGGCTCACTCACTTATTTAAAAAAAAAATCCAGATTGAGTCATTTAATATCCTCAAGTTAAAATTGAGCTTAAAAGGCTAATTTTTTTATCATTGCAGGATCAAAATTTAGGTAATCCAGATTCTTGGATGTACTAAAGCCAGAACTCTAGCTAGAAATATACTAGGGAGATACCTAATTATCCTATTTCTGACCAATGTAGAGCTCATTTTTCGATTGAAATTCAATTGAAAAAGCATGCAAATTTTATAAATGGCTTTCCTAGAGCAAAAATTTGATATAGAGAGGCATAAAAAAACTTATTTATGGCTAACCTACAGCTAAAATTGAACCTGCTGACACACAATGTTCTCTTAAAAAAACTTCATGCAGAGTTCAGGTTTAGTGATAATTTGATAGGTTTCTTTGATTCATATTTATATGATAAGAAGCAAAAGGTGGTTGTTGAAGGATAGTACTCAGATACTTTTGTGACGACTTCAGGTATCCCGCCAAGTATCCCGCATTATTTTTGTTGTTCATTGATAGTATAGTGAAGGACATAAATTGCAAAATCTCAATGTTTGCTGGTGACTTGAAGTTATATTTGAAAATTGAACATGATCGAGATTGTCAAATACTAAATACTACAGGAAAATTTGAATAAGCTTTATCACTGGTCTGATGCAAATTATCTCCATTTTAAAATCAGCAGATGTTATGTTGTTCACTTTACTAGGAAAAGAAATACTTTAAAATTTCAGTATAAGATAAACGCGACGGTGTTGCAATCTTGGAATTATCTTTGACTCCCAATTAGGCTTTATTTTTTAATTTATTTTCTTATTTATTTATTCAATATACGGGTTCACCCCTCTATTACAAAATATTACTACTACTATAATCACTATATTTACTAAGAGAATTAAAAAAATACATATTTAAAACTAACAAGATTATAACTAACAAGATCAACAAAATTTTATAAAACTCACTAATGCAAAAGATTAAAATATAGTACCTATAAGAGGTGTGATTTATACAAGTTAACACTAACACTAAGAGACAGATACAATGTAGGTTCCCTTACAAAAAGGCACCAAAACGTCACCCCTTTGGAGAATTACAAGACGGGATTGAACTGACGGCGAAACTATGGAAATGAAATTCCAGTTACCTCAAAATTGTGAGTATTTACTAGTCTAGAGAATCTAGATAAAGGGCTGTTATATGTATAATTGCTAGAATGATATGGAATGTGAAACAAATAGGTACTACGAGTGTTCCGTGAAGAAACCTTGAAGCATATCTGTTCGAGTAGATCCGGACAGTGTATATCACCAGACACTAACTTGAAATTGGTCCAAAGGTCACAAGAAATTCGATCAGACTTGAGATTATTAATGGATAGGAAGTTTCGCATATCTTCATATGTCCATTGATCTCGAGGAATTTGGAGTCTGAATCCACAATAACGTAAAAAATTATTTCGAACAGATTCAAGCCTGTCTATATGTATTTGATAAATAGGGGTCCAGACTGGAGAGGTATAATTTAGTATACTTTTCACCAAAGAAATATATAAATGACGTACAGTTGGAACAGAAAAATCAGAACAGTTACGCAAAACAAACCCCAACCAAGTGAATGCTCTCGATGATAGCGCATTTATGTGAAGAACCAAAGACATTTGGCTGTCGAAAATAACTCCCAAATCAGGTATTTTGTCTTCTCTATTAGGAGATGAATTCTCTATACAGGGTGTCCCAATAGAAAGTGACCGATTTTAAATGCTTATAACTTTTAAACCAGGTGTGCTAGCTACCTGCGATTTGGGCCATTCGACTTTTCTTGGCCTAAAGTTTTTTTTCAGTTAGTTGCAAATTTTTTTCACATTTATACAGGGCGAGTAAAAAAAATGCCGTTTTTCAACATCGAAATTCTCCACTATTTTTAATGGAACACCCTGTATGTTGCAACGCCAAAATTAAGAGTCGTGACCAAGGTATTCATTTGCCAATAAACGTCGGCCTTTTTTGAACCTAAAAAAATGCATTTATTTTTGGGCCAGATTTCTATTTCAATTTTTTAGGGCTAAAACTTCAAGTTCCATGCCCGATGTTTATTGGTACATCAATACCTTGTACGCGATTCTTAATTTTGGCGTTGCAACATACATGGTGTTTCAATAAAAATAGTGGAGAATTTCGATGTTGAAAAACGGCATTTTTTACTGGCCCTGTATAGGTGTGAAAAAAATTTGCAACTAACTGAAAAAAACTTTAGGCCAAGCGAAGTCGAATGGTGCAAATCGCAGGTAGCTAGCTCACCTGGTTTAGGAGTTATAAGCATTTACAATCGGTCACTTTCTATTGGGACACCCTGTATTATAATTGAAAAGTATTGGAGTTTTACTTCTAGTGAATGTTATACAGTGACATTTATCAATGTTTAGCGACATGTCATTACTCTTGGACCATCCGTTAAGCATATTCAAGTCGTGCTGGAGATTAAAACAGTCACCGACATTATTTATCTCTGAGTATAATTTGAGGTCATCAGCAAAAAATAAAGGCTTACAGAAAGTAAAGCATTTAGTTAAGTCCATTATGAATAGTCCAAAAAGTAATTGGCCCAGATGAGACCCTTGAGGCACATCTTACGTAGCTGAAATTTCTCGTGAACAGAAATTATGAATTTTCACTAGTTGCACTCGTCCTGTGTCCTTATTCTTGAAACAGGGGAGCAACGTTCCCAGGAGAACGAGTGTTCCGTCTTTCTCAATGATATGCAAATGATAATATAGGTAACAAAGACAGAACACTCGTTCTCCTGGGAACGCCGCTCCCCTGTTTCAAGAATAAGGACCCTGACAAATAACTTTTAAGCCATTCTAATAAGTATGTGGGAAACCCCATTGCTTACTATAAACTGTATATTAAGTCTATTTGTGACAAGTTACCCAATGATGAAAAAATGTCTTGCTCGTAGACCAAAAGGTTACTCACAGTAGATCTTTGGGGTACAAATCCATGCTGAGATGGATCAATAATACTCCTACAATGCCACTGTCAAGAATGTCGGGTATTAGGAGCTTTTCAAAAAGTTTAGGAACCGACGACAAAATACTTATTGGCCGATAATTCTTAATATCATGTCTGTCCCCAGTCTTAAATATTGGCAATACGTAGCTAGACAACCAAACTACTTTAAGCTACATGTTTCTTATATAGTCAATAAGGCTCTTAGAATGTATGGATTTGTAGTACAGAGCTGTAGGATGTTTCAAATCACAGACTGTATAAAAAGATTATATGTTGCATATGTTAGAAGTATTTTAGAGTACTGTTTAGTGGTATGGAATCCATATTATGAAAATTATAAATATGACATAAAAAAGGTACAAAACCAATTTTTAAGATACATACATTACAAAGAAAGTGGTGAGTATAGATTGCATATACCCAGAATAGACATAATGAAAACTTACAATCTTAAACCTTTAGATAATCGTAGAAAAATTGCTTCTATTATGTTTTTGTATCAACTAGTTAATAATTTCATTGCAGATCCTGATCTGATCGCGTATCTCAACTTTCATGTACCAAACTACAGAACTAGAAATCCACTCACATTGTATATGGATAATACTTGAACAAATTATTAACAGCAATTCTCCCATTATTTCAATGTGTAAACTTTATGACCAATTTAGAGACGAATGTGATATTTTTAACCTAGGATTGGAAAAATTTAAGAAAAGAGTTAATGAAATTGAGATGTGAGAAATATCGCAGTTAAGTAAATCATGTTACATGTAGCAAAGTAAACCAAGTACCACAAGTGTGCTAGTTCCTGACACCTACTCTGTAATTGGATGTAAATCTGTTGAGTTTGTACATGAATAGATAAATAGATAGATACATTCTGAGATTAAACTTGAACCAGAAGTGAATATACTTAATTTTTGTACTTTGCAGACATAAAATTCATAGAGAAAACAAACTGTGCCACCATTTTATTGATTTCTTTTGCTCGGAAACTCTTTTTTTTCAAGATTTTTCTTGAAGAATCTCCATTTTATGAGGTGTAAGGAAAATTTAATGTTGTATATACTGAGATACCCAAGGGGTTTCGTACCTTCCATCTACATTATGTCATTTATTTGCTGGAATTTTCTCACATTTTTATGAAATTTTTGTTTGGAAAACCTATCTTTTTCTGAGTTTCTTGTCCTTTCATTTAAATAGCTTCTGAGACATTTTTCAGCTTCTCGAAATGTTGTTTTTAGCTTGGTTTCCAGCTTCTAGGACATTGTGAACTATGACAGTTCCAAAATATTCTTCCTGAGTCACTTACAAGAGTTTGAAATACTTAGAATCACTTATCTAGCCAATGCAATTTCCAAAATAGTTGTTTTAGCTCTGAAACACAATGAACAGCTTTAATTTTTTTTTTTAAATAGCTTCTAAGATATTTTTTAGCGTCTGGAAATGTTGTTTCTAGCTTGGTTTTCAGCGTCTAGGACACTATGAACAATGTCAGTTCCAAAATACTCTTTCTGAGTAATTTTCAAGGGTTCTTCTGTTCTTTTAAATAGCTTTCAAGACATTTTTCAGTTTCTGGTACATTGACTTCAACTTTAATAGAACCGGGAATAGAATATTCATGCTCTTTTAGCTCAAGTTTTACTTGTCTTTTAGATTATTCTCTCAAGCTAAATTCCAGCTCGTAACAAGTTCAAAAATTAGCCTTTTAAGCTGCAGCTGCTCAATTTTAGCCCGAGCATGGTCAGAAATCATACAATGATCAATTTTGGCTTTGGGTGAGCTTGTATTGGAATTTCTATGCATCTTTAGATCTTTAAACTCTTGGAGTGCCGAGAATAGGATTTCTATGCTTCTCAAGTTCTGCCCCATCTAGAATTGTCAGAAATTCGAGTTTACTTATTTGACAGTTTAATTTCTGTTCTAGTGTAACTAGGAGTATGATTTTCATGCAGATGCATCTTCTGAGGTTGTCAATGAAAATAAAAATTTGCAGAAATTCATGCTTTCTTGGACAAATTTCTAATAAATTTCAATGATTTTTTTTTCCAGCAAGACGGTTCTCTTTGCGCCCAACACTGCCTCAACTCCCTTCTACAAGGCCCCTATTTCACAGCTGTGGACTTAGGAACCCTAGCCAACAGACTAGATGAAGAGGAACGCGAACAAATGGCCGAAGGCGGCTTAGACAGCGAAGACTACCGAAAATTCCTCCAGCAACCTTCCAGCAACATGGACGACAGCGGCTACTTTTCCGTTCAAGTGATCAGCAGCGCCCTGCAAGTTTGGGGCCTCGAACTAGTGCCTTATTGCAGTAACGACTCGCGAGCCAAATCCGCCTTGGATCAGCCCAGTCGGATGCAGGCGTTTATTTGCAATTACAAGGACCACTGGTTGAGCATTAGGAAAATCGGTAATCAGTGGTTCAATTTGAACTCGTTACTAGCCAAACCTCAACTTATATCAGATACGTATTTAGCGTTGTTTTTAGCTCAGTTAAGAACTGATGGGTGAGTATTTGTTTGATAAGAATTAGATTGAATTTGTTGTAGGTATTCAATTTTTATAGTATTTGGAGAACTTCCAGAGTGCACTGCCGATGAAATTTTAAGAAATAATCCTATTGAATCGTTTACGCAACACAGGCAACCGATTGCGCAAGGCTCGTCTAGTGAAAGCGATCCTGACATGCAAGCAGCCTTAAGGCTTAGTTTGCAAGACAGCAATGATCAGCTAGATAGTCCGGATATTGTTGACAGGTAATTTTAGGCATTTTGTGGTGAAGTGAAAAATTATTATTATAAAACATAGGGAACTGCAAGAGGCCTTAAGACTTAGTATGCACGGAGCTAATATTTCTCCAGAAGAAGAAGAGGAAGATGAGGACGTTGAATTAAAAAAGGCCATAACGATGAGTTTGCAATGTTTATGAAAGTTATCGGATTGCATTAATTTACAGCTTTAAATATTTTTTTAAAATTATATTTTTACATTTGTGTGTTGAACTAACACTTGACTTTTAGGCTAGAGTGTGATTTTTATAATGTTCGTTTTGCACTCTAAATGTCAGGGGGTAAACCACTAATTCCTTCAAAAAAGTGCTTTTATAATTCTTTATCCATTGATGGATCTGGTGTCACATTTAGTGGAAAAGCATTTTTGTCACAATTTTTCACAAAATCACTCAGTTGATATTTTACAATTTGTGATGATTCAATCAAAAACTAATGCTCTTTAAGATAAAGTAGGATTGGAGTCTTATATCTTGCCAAAATATGGCAGTTTGAAAATTTTGCCTTACTGGAAACAGGCAAAATTACTCATAGTTATTCCTTTTATACAGGGTGTTTTCTAATAGATTCTTTTCTTCCTTTTTCTACTCCAAATGTTTTAAAATTTTCTCATTAAAATGGACCCAATAATCGTCCCCTTTAATACATATTGGCAATCAATTAGAAAACACCCTGTATATTTACCAATTTGCATGATATCACAAAATAATTCCTGTAATTTCTTTGATGTGTCTCTAATTCTTCCACAAATTCCTTTTGGGTTTACCTCTTTGTATAAAAGGAATTTACTTTTTACAGTGTTGAAGTTAACTATGAATTTGTGACACATTTATCAAAAAGCTGTCTTATGTGTACTTCCACATTGTCTGAAATTCATAGCAGCTTCACAATTAATTGTTAATTACTACTTGTTATGAACTACTTGTCCTAACCATGAATTATTATTGTATTTTTTTGTGTGTTTATAATAATATTAAATACTGTTTTAACAAAAAAAAAAACAACAAGACACAATTTCAGCATTTTATTGAAAAACATAAAAAACTATTTAAATACCTAATTCCTATATTACTATACACTCGTAAGGGTAAATGTCGCCTACTCTTCCTGCATTTGGAACCGGGCAAGCTAAAAATAAATTCAGAAATTGTATATTAGTTACTCCAGTCATCAACCTCTATAATTTGACCTCAGATAAGAGGCCTAATGGAATTTTTTCCGAGTTGCATAAGTGTCATAAGGTTATCATATTGAATAACGTACCTCTATTGCATTTCATGCCAAAATATCCGGAACCTTCGCATCGGCATTTGAAGCCCGGCTGTTGAGATATTTGTATGCAAGTGCCGCCGTGCATGCAAGGGTTGTTTGTTTTACAAATATCTTTTTTTTTGCCTTAAAAAAAAATTGTATTAGAATTTGTTTTATGTAATTGATAGTATAACAACCTCTTAATGCAGCTTGACATTCTTGTATAGTGTCGTATCGATAATCCGAAATGCATCCGTAGCCGCACGAACACACTAAATTCCTTATGAGGCATCCTTGTTTGGTTTGACCGGTCTCGCAACTTAAACAATATTTTATGCCTGAAAAAATTGCTTATTTAAGGCCCAATCTTCCTTAAGTATTTGCTTACCTAAGATTAAAATGACACTAATTAAGAAATTATTATTTACAAACATTTTTTCGGTGGTTGTAACTACTAAACACCGAGTTTTTGTTAATTTTTTTGGAAAAGTTAATTACATTTAAGTAATTAGATGTTGTCGCGCTGCAGGCCGACAAGCCCAAACTATATTTTGTTTAATAAGGAATTATTGTCGATTAACTGTTTTTAATGTGGATCACCAGTGGTGTAACAAAGGGATTTTTGATTCTTTAGTATGATTTTCTTCTTTATATTTGTCTTGAGGAGCATTTTTAATACCGTTCAATAATGAATAGTTTGCGTGAATTTGTTTAAAATTTATACCAGTATAAATACAGCCAAATTCCTTACGTAATTGAAGAAAATCGAAAAGTACTGTCACTGTAACTCGAAGATAAAATGCATGGTTTTGCTGATAATAAAAGATCGTTGGCCTCTGTAAAACTATATAGCCGGAATTATTTGTTTGATAAGGCACCGAAGGGTCCGCAAAGTGCAAGGCGAAAGTAGCTATTAAAACTAATGCATTTTGTTTTGTTCGGATAGTAATTATGATTATTTGATTGTTCGTTATCTTGTCCAGAAACTGTTTGGCTTTCATAGAACATTCTCAGAAAATGCATATGTTACAATGTTTGCATTTTGATACAGAAAAATTTGAATGATACACTTAAGATTAAAACAAGTTACAAGCTCAAAAAGCAAAAATATTTTCCAAGAATAAGGCTACAAATTAATGTTGCCAATGTTTAACTATAGAAGGTGCGTTCATTATCTGGAACACCTTGGCATTTTGATCAGAGGCACAATAATGGTAGTCTTTGCTCTAGAATCAACTCCAAGCTGAAACAGTTAGTACTACTCCGGTATCAGTATTCAAGACAAAACTTGATAGTCAGTTCCTAAAACATTAGCTCAACCTATATCGACTAGATAGTAATATAAGCACAAAGATGGATAAAGTTATAGAAGATTTATATATTGCTTGGATAATCTCTCTAATAGTAGGTCTACATATTTTCAATAGCTTTTCTAAGAACCAAATCCATAAAAACCCCAAAATTTAACAAGATAAACGGGTCTATTTCTCCTGTTATTTTAACAGTTTATAGCTCAACATGCGAAAAGTACATAAAGGATGAAGTGTTGTCAACCAATCCACTCCAAATACTCTAGAAACTGTTACCGGATGGTTATTCAATATGCTTTCCAAAAGAATTGTACAGATAAGTATGCAGGACATCAACATGAAAGGAATGGTCACAAGAGGCTGCTCGCAGGGAGGTGTGCTATCACCTCTCCTGTGGAACATGGTTCTGGACAGCCTCATTGTCCGCCTGAACAATGACAACCACTACACAATAGCTTACACAGATAAATCATCTTGCCTAGAAGTAAATTCGAAAACTCGCTCAACAAATGCGTGCAACATGCTCTTTGAATTATAGAAAGATGGTGCACGGAATACACTCTGTCCATCAACCCCAAAAAGACTGAAATGGTCCTATTCACAAGAAAGAGGAAACTGGTACTTCCGACAGTACCCAGACTCTTAAACACCAAACTAAATTTTGCCACCGAGGTCAAATATCTGGAAGTGACACTCGATTGCAAACTATCATGGAACTCTCATATTGTTAAGAGAATACAGAAAACATATATCGCCTATGAAACAGAGAGTTACAAAATTATATAATCAGATAACAATTACAAAATTATATAATCAGATAACAATTACAAAATTATATAATCAGATAACAATTATTCAAAAACTGGACATCATGGGATCTAATTCATACTAATGGGGAAGGTTGAGGGGATCATAAGAAATAGGGTGACACCAGTGGCGTATACTCGATGGATTTACGAATGGAGATTTATACGAAAATATACAAAACTGTATGATTATTCAAAAACTGTACCAGGTGAATGTGTACAGGGTGCTGCAATTTGGAGTGTTTCAACAGGAAAAACATACTTGCAGAGCAAATAGAGGAAAATTGACTTAGACTTAGGGATGTAAAATGACGGTCATTTATTTTTTGTGATGGGTGACTGTCATTTTTTGGTCATTTTTGTCATTTATTGTCAAGTATCTGGTTGGGAAGTGTGTTTTTCCTGTTAAAACACTCCAAATTGCAGCACCTTGTATATTTTACACCCACACCTATCTCACCTGTTTGAAGAGATACTAAGAAATGTCAAATGTGAAAGTTGTAGGTAATCAGAAAGTTCTCGATGAAGTTAGTTACATGTATACAGGGTGTGTCACAAAAGTATGGCAAAGCAAAGTTAAACGTTTTTAAATGGAACACCCCGAATATTATTGATCCATTGAATTAGCCTTTTAAAGCTGATTCCAAATATACTAGGTTTTTTAGGTTTATTCCTAATAGTCCGGGAGAAAATAAGAGAAAAAGGAGTAGAATAATTGCATTTTTATTGAAAAAGGTGAACTATAGTGGCCACCAGCAAAATATAAAGGTAATCATTCAAGTAAAAAATCCAGATTATTTCATTAAAATGGGATATTCAGCGGCTGGACTATGAGGAATAAATCCAAAAAGCCTAGAATATTTGGAATCAGGTTTAAAAGAGGCTAATATAGGTCAATAATATATGGGGTGTTTAATGTCCTCCAAATGAAGAATACTGGCATAACTACAGATAAATGAACATCTATATTATTTTATAGGGAAGAAAATAAAACAAATTTATACTAAAAACAAAAGTCCTTTTTATTGGTTTTAAGTCATATTTTCAAAAATACTTTTTATTATTTTTTTTTTTAAATTTCAATCAACAATACAAAAATTTTTGGAACATAATAATAATTATCAAACTAATCCTATACATGCAAAAAAAGAAAACACTTCAGGATCCAAATTCAGAATTTTCGTTAAATATCTACTCGTCAATACAAAAACACTAATTATTATTGTCTGTTTTAAAAAATAATGAAAATGAACCCTGTATTGTATATGCCTTATAAGAATAAGCAACTTTTCAGTAAAACTACAAAGTTGCTAGAAATGAAAATCACACAGTAGTGGCAATAAATTTTCAACTGGCTGGCAATAAAAGGGCAAAAAAATTTGTGTGCGATTTTTTTTTTACAAGGAACAATTTATCAAATAAGGCACCACATTTTTACACACAAGTTCCTTTGGAACCAATTTAGACGTTTGAATTGTGTTCGATTCTAGTAACAGCTTTTTAATACTGTATAAATTATTTGAAGCCAATACCAAAATCGAAGGCAATTAATTATTGATTGAGCACTATTAACTAACAAATCACAATCAAACTAATATAAATTAAAAAAAAAAAAATTGATGGCCAATGATAGTCTCACTAAATTTCTTGTTTGAAAAACTGGGAAAAATGTATTGAAAATGATAAAATAAAAACTTGAAATCTATATTATATGATACTACAAACCTGTTTAAAAATTAATCACAGATCAAACTACTTACGTAGTCTAAAAATACTACCCTTAAAAATATAGTTTGCATGGCAAGAATAGTAAAATAAAATAGGCTTAATTGTTAAAGCAAACCTTAATTTATCAAATTATTCTCGACTTGCATAATAGCGGCATAATATTCTATGCGTCCCTTTAAGCTCTGTTAACTGCTATGCTTAATTATTTTTAGATTGGGGTTTTCTATTGTCTTGAGCCATTTTTTTTTTTTTTTGCCTCATTATACTTTTAACCAAAAAGCAACTGAACTTATAAATCAATGAAAAAAATTACAAAAGTCAAGATTAAATAATTTGATTTTGAATTGTTGACACAACATCCACTAGTTCAGATACTTTTTGGCAAATCAAAAAATTCTGATGTGGCCACAACATAAATATGTTGCGGTTGAGAATCAACAAACACACAGGGAGTGATTTAAAGGGCTCTAAACTATTTCCGTCATGATACTTTTCTTGATTTTTTTTCGAAAAAAATGCCAGCAAATAATAAAAAGAAAAAAGTACCCGGGTTCCAACCCAGGGGCGAACCCTGAACCCAGCTTGTTTAATTCTACTAGCCCAACTCCCTGTCCGGAGACGCTTTTTTTTTAATAGAACAACGCCACAAATTGATTCCTCGTTTTGCTTAATAGGACTCGATGATTTCGATGATACTGACATAAGTACCAGTCACGAAGCCTATAAGCCCGAAGAAAATCAGGAACAAGTTTTTGTACAATCGCCAATTGTACCTGCCTAGGCCGGGTTCTTCGTAGAATGTCACCAAATCGATTGTCGCAGGGAAAATCAAGCCCAGCATTGACAGGCAAACGGCGCCCACGAGCGAAATAAAGCCTCCGAGGTTTGGAATCAGGATTGCTAAGACTACTGTGAGGAATACCAGGCTGATACGGATTGAGATGTTGGCGAAGTTTTGTCTTTCTTCGCTGAAGTTGTTTTTGACTGCTTTCCAGATTATTTCGATTGGTACGAAGAATTGGAGGGCGTAGGTGAAGAATATGGCTACGGCGATCATCACTTTCACTGACTGACCCAATCTGGAATAGAATTAAATAAATGGTGAGTGTTTTTTTAATGTTATTCATTGATTGTAGTTTCTTCTTGGGGTTTTGATAGCTTTTTCAAAGGTGATTTTGTTGAAGATGTATTCGTTTATTTCAATGTAGCTTTTCAAACAGACTCTATATAGGTATAATTTTTATAAGAACTATGATGAGTGAAAAGATTGATGAGAGTGAAAGTATTGGTTCTTGTATGAATTCCAATGGAAAGCTAAATCCAATTTGGAACATCATTCTGTAGTAAATAAACCTTTGTAAATTGAAGCTTTTATTCGCAAAACTCAACTACATAGTTTTACAATTCATACGTTCTGTGATTCATACATTTAACAATCTCAATGTGACAAAAAGTATTTATACCTAACACTAGTAGCTATTCATTAGATACAGATGGAGTGCCAACGGAAGGGGGCTCAAGGCATATTCTCATAGCCTCAGCCTACTTTCCAGGTGATGACAGCTCAGCACCGCCAGAGATCGTCCAATGACTCATCACGTGGTGCAGAGCGAGAAACAGACACTACATTATCGAGGCAGACGCCAACGCCCATCACCAGGTAGGATGGGAAAGCACCGATACAAACGTAAGGGTTGAGTACCTTTTTGAATATTTGAACTCTATAACAACATAGACATTATCAACAAAGGTAACAAACCCACTGTCATTAACGCCGGCAGACAAAAGGTCTTAGACGTTACTCTCGTTGACACATTTACATCTAACATAATAACCAACTGGCTTGTGTCAAATGAACCCTCCCTGTCAGACCATCAAGCAATGAGGTTCGACTTAGAGTCAGTAATAAATCACTCAACACAGACGAGAATCAAGAAACTCACCAACCGAGTATCCTTTGTGGAGGGTCTCTGCTTGAGTCTAGATGAACTCCCTTCTGACATAAATACAATAGAAGAGCTAGAGGCATCATCTGACAATCTAACAAATGCAATAAAAGATTCCTATGAGAACAGTTATCCCGTAAAACAGAAGGCAGTCCACAGGGATGTACCTTGGTGGAACGGGCAGCCGAGACGTCTGAAACAAGATGCCAGAAAACTATTCAACAAAGGCAAAAACTAACGGCAACTGGGCAGATTATAGAACAGCCCTAGACAAGTACAACCGTGAATTAAAAAAATCAAAAAGGAAATCATGGAGACAATTCTGCGAGGGGATCGACGAATTAGCCCCAGCTCAACGTCTCCAAAAAGTTCTTTCAAAAAACCACTCAAACGAAATTGGTCTGCTTAAAAAGCCAAACGGAGAACACTGTACCGACCATATAGAAAGTCTAGAGGTACTACCACAAACTCATTTTCCAGGTTCGGTAATCGTTGAAGCCCTGAACCAGGTCCCTCTGCCTATCGAAAGCCTCAACGGCAGGAGCAAAAGGCTGGCTGTGAAAATCTTCACAATGAACAGAATAAAATGGGCGATCGATAGCTTCGATAGAAACCTCCCCCAAAAAATTGAAAATTCAATCTCAATTTTTTATTCCTGATTTCTAATTAAAATAATAATCCACAAATTACACAATAGAATTCCAATTTTCGATATTTCAATGTAATTTAGAAAAGTCTGACAACATTATTTCAATCAATCCTCCACGACAAAAATCTGTGAATCTGGGATACTCAGTAATACCGGCCCGAAGGGGCCGGAGTAATATGAGCCCGAAGGGCTAGAGTTATACGCGAGCCCGAAGGGCTAGAGTTATTTTAATCACGGGACTCAGTCTATAATTCTATTGGTCAGATTCAAAAACTTTAGTTTTATCAAATTGACTTTGGAATGTTGGTTTTCTTAAGATTTTTACTTTTTTCAGAAAACGGTGGTTTTTGCAAACATATACTACTTTATCGTTGTCTTCGTCTTACTCGCTATAATCAATAAGGAAACCTTGTAATGTCATTTTCATTGAAATTAAACTAAAAACAAGTTTCCTATGATTTATTTGGGGAATTTTAATTATTATAATCATTATTAATTAATTATTAAATTGAATTTTAAACAACAAACTCTTTTAAAATGTTATTTTTGTTTTCCGAGATGTGATGTGGCAACGTTGCTTTTAGTTGGCCATTTTGAAGTGACGTCTTGTGATTTTTTTGCCAGTTTTTTTCTCGAATTTTCGACTTTTCCGGAGTTTTTTATTGGAAAAAAGCGATTTAACATACGAGGTTTTGAGTTTTCTTCATTTTTTAGTAAATATTTCTAGTTTTAAATGCTATAATTAGCAAAATCCCATTTAAAATGCTTTTGATGTGGCAACATCGCTTGTAGCTAATTTCAATCAAGGAAGCATTTTTGACAGTCGGCCATTTTCAATTAACGTGTTTACATTTTTATTCAGTTTTCTTCGAATTTTCACTTTTCCGGGGCTTTTTCAGTCGGGAAAACTGATTTAAAGTACGAGGCTTTGAATTTTATTTATTTTCCACCAAAAATTTCCAGTGTTTTAACGGGGTAAGTTAGAAAAACTTTAGTTTTATCAAACTTTTTTGGGATGTCATTTTCGTTGTTTTTTTTTTTGGAATTTTTATTTAAGGTTTTTGGGGTCCGGGGATCGTTTTCTATTACTTTTTTTCTCGAAATTTATAAAAAAAAAAAAATACTTCTTAACGTTGACAGCTGTCAATTTTTTTTGACACAAATCGATAGTTGGCGTCGTGAAACTGCCTTGCATCGGGGTTTGATTTTCGTAGCTTTTATAGTAGAGCGGGGAAAAAGTCGGACATGTGTCAAAGGACCCCGCAATATTTAAATGGAAATTGGTTACCCGTGATATTTGGATAAAATTTAAATATGTTATTGGGGATGCCGTAAGCAACATTTTTTACCATGGGCACAACCCTGTATATATGACAGCTGAGGCGTGTTTAGCTGTCAAATAGTGGAATCTTAAATCCAAAAGCAGAGATACTATGGCAGATTTTGATGAACAAAAAATCTATTTCTACTAAGTCGTCCAAGTTAAGTCGAAAAATGTCAACCGTTTTAACACCTGTCAAACCTGTCACCTGTCAGCACTCATCTTTTCCAGTTTTCAATATTTTATGTTGTTATTTGACATTTTTAACTTATATGTAAATTCTAAATTCAAAAATTGAAAAAAATAAATAAAAATGACAGCTGTCAAAATGTGACGTGCATTGCATGAACTTTGTTCAATGTTTTTATCACCAATAAACTACCTTAAAACGAGAAAGGACCAGATTAGAGTATTTTTTTCTACTATACTCTATTTTTTTGAAAGCTGGTATCTTTGAAACAAAAAGACGTCATTTTGTATCGATTGTCAAAAAAACCCAAGGTTTGAAATTTCTTTTGACGTTTGTTGTATCATGATTATAGGTTATTTTAAAAACAATCAAGAGCCGGAAATATTCAAAATTTAAAGCCAATCAAGAGCCGGGAATAATCAAAATTCGAATCTCCAAACCAATCAGGAACCGGGAAAATTCAAAAATTCGAATTCCAAACCCGACGGGAAATTGAATTTTTTGTATCAACTGTTGCTACATGTTGTTACATAAATCTCGACCTAAAACCCACTAAAAAACGACCTTTGTTTTTTGGAAAAAACAAAAGAATTTTTTTTTTTAGTTTGACACCTGTCAAAATTTTAATGGGAATATAGATTTAGCCTCGACGAATACGTAGGAAGTACCAATTTTTTTTTTTTAACATAATATGTCAAAAAAGACGTTCGGCGTTGCCAGGCGGTTGGTTTTTGACATATATCGATGAAACTTCTTATTTTAGGGTTTTCGGAGCCTGGGGATTGTTTTCTGACATTTGTTTTTTGAAATAAAGAAAAGGTAGAAATTTTTGACATTGACAGTAGTTGTCAAAATTTAAAAAAAAAACCCACATGGCATATAGATTTAGCCTCGACGAATACGTAGAAAGTAGCCAAACAGGGCCAATTTTTGTTTGTTGTATTATAAGCAGCGTTGCCATATGTTTTTATCAAATCTCGATTTATAGGTTATTTTAAACCCAATCATTGACATTTCAGAAAAATATTTCCTTTAAAATTCCCAAATATCCTTTGGAATCCCCAAAAATCTGTTAAAATCTCAGAATTCCACAATTTAGTGGAATTTCGAGGAATTTCGGTAGAATAATTATGTTATTCTGAAAAAGGAATTACATGTGAAATTTTTGCGGAGTTTCCATAGAATTCACATTAAATTTTAATTCCTCTCGAATTACTTGAATTTTCAGTGAAATTCCGATCGAATTACACGAAATCCTAAATGAATTACATGGAGGAATTTTAAACAATTACATAAAATTACACGTAAATTCTCAACATAAAATTTCAGTTTTTACCGAATTTTAGTAATGCCGAGGAATTTCCAGTAGTAATATAACTAGTGCATGAAATATTTCCGGAAATTTCCCTTGTGCATATTTAACTGGAAATTTACCTCGTAATTTTCATAAATTGATAAGTGGAAATATCCCTGGTGAGAGGGATATTTCCGGGTGCAATTTCCAATGCGACAATGCCGCGCGGCGTCTGTCGGAAACCCACCATTAGGTTGTCATTTTTGGCATTGAGACCAGCTTTTCCATTTAAAATGCATTGATGTCAGAAATCTGACAAAGTGTATATTTTTTGACAAACGCAATTTAAATGGGAAATATCAATAACAATCACCATCACAGAACACATCATCATAATTAAAATATTCGCCACAACTTATAATAAATAAACTTCAAACTCGGGAAATTTCCTATCAAAATATAACACGTGCATAAAATATTTCCTAAGGGAAATTTTTAAAAATTTGGTCTTTAGTCAATTTTTTTAAACAAAACCATTCGTGCATAGCGCCAAAGAAAAAATCCCTCACCCTTCGGGTTCGGGATTTTTTCAGGCGCTATGCACTCATGATTTTGTTAAAAAATTGGCTTCAGACAAAATTTTCAAAAATTTCCGGAAATATTTTATGCACTAGTTATATTACTAGGTACTGGAAAATTTTGTCTAAAGCCAATTTTTTAACAAAATCATGAGTGCATAGCGCCTGAAAAAATCCCGAACCCGAAGGGTGAGGGATTTTTTCTTTGGCGCCATGCACGAATGGTTTTGTTTAAAAAAATTGACTAAAGACGAAATTTTTAAATATTTCCCTTAGTGTGTTCTGTGATGGTGATTGTTATTGATCTTTTCCCATTTAAATTGCGTTTATCAAAAAATATACACTTTGCCATATTTCTGACATCAATGCATTTTAAATGGAAAAGCTGGTCTCAATGCCAAAAATGACAACCTAAAGGTGGGTTTCCGACGGACGCCGCGCGGCATCGTCGCATTGGAAATTGCACCCGGAAATATCCCGCTCACCAGGGTTATTTCCACTTATCAATTTTTGAAAATTACGAGGTAAATTTCCAGTTAAATATGCACAAGGGAAATTTCCAGCTAAAAACATGGAATTTCGGTGATACTCCGAAAAATTACCATGTAATGACATGAAATATCAATATATTTCGGTGAATTTTTAAGAAATTACTTGAAACTTCATTAATATTCCCAGAAATTCCTGGCTATTAAAAGAGAATTTCAATGAAATTCCGAAAAATTCTTATGAAAATAAATTAAATTTTGAAAATTCCTTGAAATTTCGAGAAATTTTCGGTTATGAACGTGGATATTCTCATAAAATTTTAGTGAATTCCGAGAAATTTTTAAGAAATTACATGAAATTCCGTAGAATTTTATGAAAATTTTGTGGAATTCCAAGATATTTCAGTGGTAAAATTTTGAGGAATTTTAGTAAAGTTAAAAAAAAAATATGGAATTTTAAAATTGAAATCTTAGTGGAATTCCGAGGAATTTCATGAAATCCTATACTGTAATTCCGAAAAAATTTTGTCCAAGAATTCCATAAAATTTTCTAATGAAATGTTGAGGTATTTATTTATATGGAATTACTTAAAATTTTCGTGAAATTCCCATGGAATAACTTAAAATTTTAATGGAATTCCAAAGAACTTTGATGAAATCTTCGAGAGGTTTTTCCCCCAATTAGTTTTCCAGGAAAACTGTGAAAGTGTGAAACTGTATTTTCCAAGAGGCAAAACCACCTTGGAATTTTTTGTTAAAAACTTGGGGAATTTATAGGGAATTTGGAAAAATTTATGGGGAATTTGGAGGATTGTGTTCGATGTTGGATAAATTCCAAGGAATTCTCGTCAAATTACACCTACATGGAATTCCTTGAAATCTTATTGTGGAATTCCAGTGAAATTATATCGAAACCGAAAAATTCTCTTGGAATTAAATAGAATTTTCGTGGAATTTCCATGCAACCACGAAAAATTTCGGCGGAATTCCGAAAACTAAATTTTAGTGAAATTCTGAGTAATTTCTGTCGAAATTTCATGAAATCTTCTACTGTAATTCCGAGGAATTGTACAAGAATTCCATTGAATTTTATAGTGGAATTCAGAAAAGTATTATGAAATTTTATGATAAAATTTCCAGGACTTTATGTTTTTCTATTCAAAAATACCATTTAAGGTTAATGGGCAGAGCGGAAGACGATCTCTGCAGATTCTGCCCAGACGCAATAGAGACCGCAGAGCACCTGCTCTGCGAATGTCCAGCCCAATTCTGCAAGAGGCTCAAATTCCTCGAGGGGGCAACACTGTCACCAGAAGAAGTGGGCCAACTAACACCCAGGAAAATAGCTTCCTTCGGCAGAAGTCTACGCTTCCTGGAGACAATTTGAGATGTAGGGTCATGTACAAAATATCTGCAAAGGTAGCAGTGCTGAGCGGCTGAAAAGCCGAAACGACTCCCGCGCAATCTACAATCTACAATCTACACCCCTGGCAAATCTTTTCAACCATTCATTGCCAACAAGTTCCTACCCGATTTTGTAAAAGTTCAGCTTTTTGAAACCAAAAAGTGGGTCAAGAGAAGAGGTCACAAATTACAGGGCTGTTTGCACGCAGTCTGAGATTCCTAAGTTGCTGGATTGTCTCATCACCGGGAGACTTAGCTGGGACTGTAGGTACTTTTTAAATCCAGAACAGCATGGATTTACGGTGGGTAGGTTGGCATCAACAAATTTGGTTTTGTGTCAGAATTTTATTTTGAACAACATGGAGAGGAGGTTTCAGATTGATTCTGTATACTCGGACTTCTCTTAAGCCTTTGACAGGGTTACTCATAGCCTCATTCGAGATTTGAGAGTGGAATTTGACTTCAAGATGTCATTTAATGGTCATATTACTAATACTGTGTGAAGGGCTGTTAGATGTTTGGGCTTTATATGTAGGTCCACTACTGATATGTCTGTGAGTATACAGGGTGTTTCACGAACATCGAAACAGAGGCGTTTTGGGGTATTTTAAGGTCGATTTTAAAAAAACGCTCGGACACGTCAATTTTGTATTCACGGGGGAAATAATTCTAATTTGAAACTTCTTCATTTGTTACAAAGTTAAGAATAACTGCGGTAAAGCCACCACCAATAGCTGCTTAATTTTTTTTTGTAAGAACTCAGTTTGTAATGAGAAGATTGATGATAGTGACAGTAGAAGATTTCATTTGGTACCTGTATGAATTTTCAATGGAAAACTTAATCCAATTTGGAACAACATTCTTACAACTTCTAAAGCTACCAACCGTCAGAAATGATTCATAAAATTTTGTAATAAGTAATAGAAAAAAAATACTTACGGTTCATCCTGAGGAAGATTCAAAGTAATACTGCCTTCGGTATCCATTCCATATTTCAAGTATCCAAAAAATCCAGTGGACGCATACAAAAGAACAACGAAGAACATTCCAAAGTTCAAAACTCCTGGACATCCGATAAAGTGACGCGGGTTCTTCATGTTGTTCTCCAACGGCATCACTACACCGATACCTTCCAAAGCAAAGATAGCAGTTCCAAAGAACATTGGAAGTTTGGTAATACTCTCATATGCAGGACGCGAATCCAGCGATGGAAGATCAGTAAAAATGTAGTAAAAAGTGATGCCAATACCACAAGCAACCAAAATATTAGCCATCATAGACAACGGAGACAGCCACTTGAGATTCCTGATAAGATTTATAAGAATTAAAAACGGAAGCAATGCAGCCATGTACATTCTAAGGTTGAACTGGTACTCTTCAGGTGCATAAAAATCCACAACTTGCTTAACATTCTTGGCTACAAACACAATATAGACGCAACAACATCCCAGGAGATCGATGACGAGGAACATGTTGATACTGGCCTTTGCAAACTTCGCCCAGGGCCTGAAACCTTGAGGCCCCGCCAGGAAAGCAGCCTCGGCTACTTCGGCAAAACCCAAACTTGGAACTTTGGTCCGTCGGCACAATTCGTGCGCACTCTTGACGAGAATGTGGACGCAGTAGGTGCAAATGCAACCTATAGCAAAGGTGCAGAAGAGGCCTAAGAATAAACCTGCATTGGCAAAAGCCAATGGCATTGCCAGGATTCCACTGCCCAGGCTTCCTTTGAGGAGATGAATGAAAGTGTCCAAATCACTACAAAAAATAATTTTAGATTTAATATATAAACAATTGACAAAATCACTTACGAAGTAGGATGATCCAGTTTCCTGTGCTGTAAAGGATCATAGTCTCCGATTTCTGCGTCCCTTTTGCACAGCGGCACGGTGGAGCCGTTGGCTGAGGCCACTTGGACTGGTTCGCCAGCTTTCTCGGCCTTGTAACTGTAATTCGACAGCTATTAGATATTGGTTCTGGTATGTCGAAGACCTTGTTTACGTGTAGCAGCAATTTGCTCGGTGTAAACGGGGCCTTAAAATAGTCGGCGGGTCGGTTTTTGTGTTAGTGAAAAATCGGTGAGGATGGAAGTAAGATGTGATTGATGATGAATTTGGATAACTGGATACTGATGGGGGTTGAATTAATGGTGGTTTACAGGTGGCTTCTTCAACAACTTCTATTATGAGTCAATTTTTTTGATTTTTGGTTTATTGGATTTTTGACTTTGCCAATCGAAAGAGCAGTTCAAAATTAGTGGAAAAGTGTTTTTGCAATTTGTTTTTTCGAGGTTTTAGGGCTTGTCAAAAATTAAAAATTAATTGTGCATTTTTGATATCAGAAGATTTTGATTTTTTAACATTGCCTCACTAAATTGTCCATAACTTTGGTAATATTTCACAAATTCCAATGTAAAATTATACTTTTATAATAAGAAATAAATGCTCTTCAGAATAAAACAAGATTTAATTTTATAACTCAAATAGTTTCCGAAATATTGAGCCTCAAAGTTGAAACTTTGTCTCAAATTTTGGAAAAGCTTAAATGCCGTTTTTCTCGGAAACGAAGCCCTTGGGCTCAGAGTCTTAAATAACCTTTATTGTAGTCCTAATTGAGAGCTATAAGTTGGGGCAAATTAAGTGCCGATAGCTATTGCGGTTCCCGAAATATGACACTCTGAAATATTTAAAAATCAAATTTCCAGGCATAGGGTACCTTTGAAAAAATTCAAATTTTTGAATTTTTGGTTTTTCAAATTTTCGATTTTACCAATCAAAAGAGGAAGTCAAGTTAGTGGAAAAGCGTTTTGCAATTTGTTTTCTCGAGGTTTTAGGGCTTGTAAAAAATTAAAAATTGATTACGCATTTTTGATCTCAAAAGATTTTGATTTTTTGACATTGCTTCACAAAATCGCCCATAGCATCGATAATATTTTACACATTCCAATGCAAAATTATATTTTTATAATCAGAATTAAACACCCTTCAAGATAAAACAAGATTCAATTTTATAGGTCGAATCGTTTTTGAGATATTGGGGCTCAAAATTGAAACTTTGTCTCATATTTTGGAAAAGCTTAAATACTGTTTTTCTCGAAAACGAAGCCCTTGGGCTCGGAGTCTTAAATAACATTTTTGTAGTCCTAATTAAGAGCTACAAGTTGTGATAAATTTAGTGCCGATAGCTTTTGCGGTTCACGAAATATGGCCCTCCGAAATATTTGAAAATCAAATTTCCATGCATACCCCCTTTGGGAAAATTTCGATTTTTAAATTTTTGGTTTTTCAAATTTTTGACTTTACCAAACAAAAGAGGAAGTCAAAATTAGTGGAAAAGCGTTTTTGCAATTTGTTTTCTCGAGGTTTTAGGGCTTGTAAAAAATTAAAAAATTGATTACGCATTTTTGATCTCAAAAGATTTTGATTTTTTGACATTGCCTCACAAAATCTCCCATAACTTTGATAATATTTTACAAATTCCAATGCAAAATTATATTTTTATAATCAGAATTAAACGCCCTTTAAGATAAAACAAGATTCAATTTAATAGGTCGAATCGTTTTTGAGATATTGGGGCTCAAAATTGAAATTTTGTCTCAAATTTTGGAAAAGCTTAAATGCCGTTTTTCTCGGAAACGAAGCCCTTGGGCTCGGAGTCTTAAATAACATTTTTTGTAGTCCTAATTAAGAGCTACAAGTTGGGACAAATTTAGTGCCGATAGCTTTTGCGGTTCCCGAAATAAGGCCCGCTGAAATATTTGAAGATCAAATTTCCATGCATACCCCTTTGGGAAAATTTCGATTTTTAAATTTTTGGTTTTTCAAATTTTTGACTTTACCAATCAAAAGAGGAAGTCAAAATTAGTGGAAAAGCGTTTTTGCAATTTGTTTTCTCGAGGTTTTAGGGCTTGTAAAAAATTAAAAATTGATTACGCATTTTTGATCTCAAAAGATTTTGATTTTTTGACATTGCCTCACAAAATCGCCCATAACTTTGATAATATTTTACAAATTCCAATTCAAAATTATATTTTTATAATCAGAATTAAAGGCCCTTTAAGATAAAACAAGATTCAATTTTATAGGTCGAATCGTCTTTGAGATATTGGGGCTCAAAGTTGAAACTTTGTCTCAAATGTTGGAAAAGCTTAAATACTGCTTTTCTCGAAAACGAAGCCCTTGGGCTCGGAGTCTTAAATAACCTTTTTTGTAGCCCTAATTGAGAGCTACAAGTTGAGACAAATTTCGTGCCGATACTATTTGCGGTTTCCGAAATATGGCCCTCCGAAATATTTGAAAATCAAATTTCCGTACATACCCCTTTGGAAAAATTTCGATTTTTAAATTTTTGGTTTTTTAAATTTCTGACTTTACCAATCGGAAGAACAGATCAAAATTAGTGGAAAAGTGTTTTTGCAATTTGTTTTTTCGAGATTTTAGGGCTTGTGAAAAATTAAATGCGCATTTTTGATGTCAAAAGATTTTGACTTTTTGACATTGCCCATAACTTTGTTAATATTTCACAAATTTCAATGCAAAATTATATTTTTATAATCAGAATTAAATGCTCTTCGAGACAAAACAAGATTTAATTTTATAGCTAAAATAGTTTTTGAGATATTGAGGCTCAAAGTTGGAACTTTATCTCAAATTGTTTCACCCAAAAAAAAAATACACTAAAAGTCACCTTCTAACTCTATTCTATTTTGGGGTTAATAGGAAAATTAAAATAAAATAGCTTTATATTGCCAGTGAAAAACTAATCACTGTTGTAGAAGAAGTCAACTGTGATAATATGTGCGCATTAATTATTGGTCCCTCTTCCAGTATTTAGTTATTTCTTATTAGGGAAATGGAAGCTAAAAGGAAATTTTGTGGCAAAATTCAAAAGAAAAAAACTGAAATTAAATAGTCTCGAGATTGTCATTTGCCACAAAATAAATAAGGAAAAGACATATAAAAAGGTTCTCCTACAAAATAATGTATATGAACTTAAAAATAAGGGTGTTTTATTTTTTTTTTTGGTTTTGGAAAGACAAAAAAATTAAAAAAAATCTGTATTCAATTTGGTTGCAAAAAAATTATATAAAAATAAAATTTGTGCAGTTGTACCGTTCGCCATCCAAAAGACTGACGCAGCTTCCAATTTTAGCTTAATATTCTCTGGGGCCGTTACTTCTTGGGACTCGATCCGAAATCTGACTCTAGTGCCAAAATCGAATTGACTAAACTTACAAAATTATTATCAAAACAACACTATGCAACCATGTATAAACGCAATTGGCATTATTCTATTGGTTCCTATATATGTATATCTATTATTTAATCGCTCGTATAGTATCAAATTTTGTTAAGTATATGAACCAAGATTGCAACAACAAAGACCAATCAGTATCTTCAAAAGCATGAAAATGAATGATAAAAAAATAAACAAGGCTTCTTTTTTTTATTAAAAAAATTAATATTGGTGTTTAAAAAGTGAAGATACTCAATAGTCCCTTGCAAATATAAAAAGGAAAAAAATAAGCGCCCTAACATGAGCCTGTGCAGGATATACATGGTTTTTTTAAAATATATAAATCAACAATCAATATAAAAATATATATTTCCAAACACCAATTTCAATTTAAACTACAAAATTAAATAAAAATTACTTGAATACCTTTTTTTTTTCAAAAAAGAAGCATTGTGATGTTCGATGGATGATTTTTAAGAATTTTATAAGTTTTTTTTTTTTGAAGGGGGCTGGCACTAATATCGTCGGAACTTTGCAACTTACCTTGACATTATCACTTGTGTATTTACACCGCCCCTTTTGGTATCTACTTGGGCGATTAGTTGGGACTGTAACAAAAAAATTAACAGTTAGGTATATTATATAATGTGTTTCTTAAATAATTTTGTATCATACAATTTACTGTTAGTGTGAAGTTATTCATAAAATTTCAGCCATAAAACTAACGAATCTCGGTTAGGCCTACTTTTAACTATACCGGCCGGATTCTCATAAATTCTGGGGGCTGTTTGTGCTATATTGGAAATAATTATGAATGTTTGTACCAGTCTTAGCAATAAACAAAAATTAGTTTTGTGTAATGCCCCGCCGTCTAAGTGTAGAGACTACAATCGAAAATTGATAAAAATCACGACTTTTTTAGGGTTTTGAATTTTTTTGAGACACTCAAACGTCGGGGCATTACACAAAACTAATTTTGCTTGATTTCTAGGGGTGGTAACTAAAATGTGTAGCTATTTTCGAAGCGGCACAAGCAACCGTGTAGAGACTAAAATCGAAAATTGACAAAAATCACGACTTTTTTAGGGTTTTTAACTTTTTTGAGACACTCAGACGGCGGTGCATTACACAAAACTAATTTTTCTTGATTTCTAGGAGTGGTAGCTAAAATGTGTAGCTATTTTCGAAGCGGCACAAGCAACCGTGTAGAGACTACAATCGAAAATTGACAAAAATCACTAGTTTTTTAGGGTTTTTAATTTTTTTGAGACACTCAGACGGCGGTGCATTACACAAAACTAATTTTTCTTGATTGCTAGGAGTGGTAGCTAAAATGTGTAGCTATTTTCGAAGCGGCACAAGCAACCGTGTAGAGACTACAATCGAAAATTGACAAAAATCACTACTTTTTTAGGGTTTTTAATTTTTTTGAAACACTCAGACGGCGGGGCATTAGCAAAACTAATTTTTCTTGATTGCTAGGAGTGGTAGCTAAAATGTGTAGCTATTTTCGAAGCGGCACAAGCAACCGTGTAGAAACTACAATCGAAAATTGACAAAAATCACGACTTTTTTAGGGTTTTTAACTTTTTTGAGACACTCAGACGGCGGGGCATTACACAAAACTAATTTTTCTTGATTGCTAGGAGTGGTAGCTAGCATGTGTAGCTATTTTCGAAGCGGCACAAGCAACCGTGTAGAAACTACAATCGAAAATTGACAAAAATCACGACTTTTTTAGGGTTTTTAATTTTTTTGAGACACTCAGACGGCGGTGCATTACGCAAAACTAATTTTGCTTGATTTCTAGGGGTGGTAGCTAAAATGTGTAGCTATTTTCGAAGCGGCACAAGCAACCGTGTAGAGACTACAATCGAAAATTGACAAAAATCACGACTTTTTTTAGGGTTTTTAACTTTTTTGAGACACTCAAACGGCGGGGCATTACACAAAACTAATTTTTCTTGATTTCTAGGAGTGGTAGCTAACATGTGTAGCTATTTTCGAAGCGGCACAAGCAACCGTGTAGAAACTACAATCGAAAATTGACAAAAATCACGACTTTTTTAGGGTTTTTAACTTTTTTGAGACACTCAGACGGCGGGGCATTACACAAAACTATTTTTTCTTGATTTTAGAAGTGGTAGCTAAAATGTGTAGCTATTTTCGAAGCGGCACAAGCAACCGTGTAGAAACTACAATCGGAAATTTACAAAAATCACGACTTTTTTAGGGTTTTTAATTTTTTTGAGACACTCAGACAGTGGGGCATTACACAAAACTAATTTTTCTTGATTGCTAGGAGTAGTAGCTAAAATGTGTAGCTATTTTCGAAGCGGCACAAGCAACCGTGTAGAGACTACAATCGAAAATTGACAAAAATCACTAGTTTTTTAGGGTTTTTAACTTTTTTGAGACACTCAGACGGCGGGGCATTACACAAAACTATTTTTTCTTGATTTTAGAAGTGGTAGCTAAAATGTGTAGCTATTTTCGAAGCGGCACAAGCAACCGTGTAGAAACTACAATCGGAAATTTACAAAAATCACGACTTTTTTTAGGGTTTTTAATTTTTTTGAGACACTCAGACAGTGGGGCATTACACAAAACTAATTTTTCTTGATTGCTAGGAGTAGTAGCTAAAATGTGTAGCTATTTTCGAAGCGGCACAAGCAACCGTGTAGAGACTACAATCGAAAATTGACAAAAATCACAACTTTTTTAGGATTTTTAACATTTTGAGACACTCAGACGGCGGGGCATTACACGAAACTAATTTTGCTTGATTTCTAGGAGTGGTAGCCAAAATGTGTAGCTATTTTCGAAGCGGCACAAGCAACCGTGTAGAGACTAAAATCGAAAATTGACAAAAATCACGACTTTTTTAGGGTTTTTAACTTTTTTGAGACACTCAGACGGCGGTGCATTACACAAAACTAATTTTTCTTGATTTCTAGGAGTGGTAGCTAAAATGTGTAGCTATTTTCGAAGCGGCACAAGCAACCGTGTAGAGACTACAATCGAAAATTGACAAAAATCACGACTTTTTTTAGGGTTTTTAACTTTTTTGAGACACTCAAACGGCGGGGCATTACACAAAACTAATTTTTCTTGATTTCTAGGAGTGGTAGCTAACATGTGTAGCTATTTTCGAAGCGGCACAAGCAACCGTGTAGAAACTACAATCGAAAATTGACAAAAATCACGACTTTTTTAGGGTTTTTAACTTTTTTGAGACACTCAGACGGCGGGGCATTACACAAAACTATTTTTTCTTGATTTTAGAAGTGGTAGCTAAAATGTGTAGCTATTTTCGAAGCGGCACAAGCAACCGTGTAGAAACTACAATCGGAAATTTACAAAAATCACGACTTTTTTAGGGTTTTTAATTTTTTTGAGACACTCAGACAGTGGGGCATTACACAAAACTAATTTTTCTTGATTGCTAGGAGTAGTAGCTAAAATGTGTAGCTATTTTCGAAGCGGCACAAGCAACCGTGTAGAGACTACAATCGAAAATTGACAAAAATCACTAGTTTTTTAGGGTTTTTAACTTTTTTGAGACACTCAGACGGCGGGGCATTACACAAAACTATTTTTTCTTGATTTTAGAAGTGGTAGCTAAAATGTGTAGCTATTTTCGAAGCGGCACAAGCAACCGTGTAGAAACTACAATCGGAAATTTACAAAAATCACGACTTTTTTAGGGTTTTTAATTTTTTTGAGACACTCAGACAGTGGGGCATTACACAAAACTAATTTTTCTTGATTGCTAGGAGTAGTAGCTAAAATGTGTAGCTATTTTCGAAGCGGCACAAGCAACCGTGTAGAGACTACAATCGAAAATTGACAAAAATCACAACTTTTTTAGGATTTTTAACATTTTGAGACACTCAGACGGCGGGGCATTACACGAAACTAATTTTGCTTGATTTCTAGGAGTGGTAGCCAAAATGTGTAGCTATTTTCGAAGCGGCACAAGCAGCCGTGTAGAGACTAAAATCGAAAATTGACAAAAATCACGACTTTTTTAGGGTTTTTAACTTTTTTGAGACACTCAGACGGCGGTGCATTACACAAAACTAATTTTTCTTGATTTCTAGGAGTGGTAGCTAAAATGTGTAGCTATTTTCGAAGCGGCACAAGCAACCGTGTAGAGACTACAATCGAAAATTGACAAAAATCACTAGTTTTTTAGGGTTTTTAATTTTTTTGAGACACTCAGACGGCGGTGCATTACACAAAACTAATTTTTCTTGATTGCTAGGAGTGGTAGCTAAAATGTGTAGCTATTTTCGAAGCGGCACAAGCAACCGTGTAGAGACTACAATCGAAAATTGACAAAAATCACTACTTTTTTAGGGTTTTTAATTTTTTTGAAACACTCAGACGGCGGGGCATTAGCAAAACTAATTTTTCTTGATTGCTAGGAGTGGTAGCTAAAATGTGTAGCTATTTTCGAAGCGGCACAAGCAACCGTGTAGAAACTACAATCGAAAATTGACAAAAATCACGACTTTTTTAGGGTTTTTAACTTTTTTGAGACACTCAGACGGCGGGGCATTACACAAAACTAATTTTTCTTGATTGCTAGGAGTGGTAGCTAGCATGTGTAGCTATTTTCGAAGCGGCACAAGCAACCGTGTAGAAACTACAATCGAAAATTGACAAAAATCACGACTTTTTTAGGGTTTTTAATTTTTTTGAGACACTCAGACGGCGGGGCATTACACAAAACTAATTTTTCTTGATTTCTAGGGGTGGTAGCTAAAATGTGTAGCTATTTTCGAAGCGGTACAAGCAACCGTGTAGAGACTACAATCGAAAATTGACAAAAATCACTAGTTTTTTAGGGTTTTTAACTTTTTTGAGACACTCAGACGGCGGGGCATTACACAAAACTATTTTTTCTTGATTTTAGAAGTGGTAGCTAAAATGTGTAGCTATTTTCGAAGCGGCACAAGCAACCGTGTAGAGACTACAATTGAAAATTGACAAAAATCACTAGTTTTTTAGGGTTTTTAACTTTTTTGAGACACTCAGACGGCGGTGCATTACACAAAACTAATTTTTCTTGATTGCTAGGAGTGGTAGCTAAAATGTGTAGCTATTTTCGAAGCGGCACAAGCAACCGTGTAGAGACTACAATCGAAAATTGATAAAAATCACGACTTTTTTAGGGTTTTTAACTTTTTTGAGACACTCAGACGGCGGTGCATTACACAAAACTAATTTTTCTTGATTTCTAGGAGTGGTAGCTAAAATGTGTAGCTATTTTCGAAGCGGCACAAGCAACCGTGTAGAGACTACAATCGAAAATTGATAAAAATCACGACTTTTTTAGAGTTTTGAATTTTTTTGAGACACTCAAACGTCGGGGCATTACACAAAACTAATTTTGCTTGATTTCTAGGGGTGGTAACTAAAATGTGTAGCTATTTTCGAAGCGGCACAAGCAACCGTGTAGAGACTAAAATCGAAAATTGACAAAAATCACGACTTTTTTAGGGTTTTTAACTTTTTTGAGACACTCAGACGGCGGTGCATTACACAAAACTAATTTTTCTTGATTTCTAGGAGTGGTAGCTAAAATGTGTAGCTATTTTCG